CTTCTCCTCCAGCCCATGCTTCTGTGCATCTGGAAACCAGGGACCGTTCTGAAGGTTACTCATTGCCTGCCCCACAGAGATTCTACAAGGACAGGATGAAATCAGCAGCCAGAAACCGGAGATTTCAGGGAGATGTGGAACTGGGAACAAAGACCTCTCCTCACAAGGAAAAAAAACAAACCCCCTAAAGCTTTCCGGGGCACCCCGAGGTGAGCTGATGCAATGATGCTAGACCTAGCTGTGGGATGGGGTGGAGGAGTGGGGTTTCTGCTACCTAGAGGAGCAGCATTTCTGGCTTCCTGTAGCTTAGGGGAGAAAGTAAAGAAGGGTGTGCTGTTCATTCCTAAAGCATCCTGAGGTATGGATTGCAGCAGACAATTGCAGCAGTCCTAGGCTATAGCAAGGCCCCCCTATTCTCAGGAACTTTCTTTGTCTTGGGAGTAAGGTCCACAGGGAAAGAATTCCTAATTATTGATTTTATAAACAGAAGCGAAGAAAGGAACAGGACTCCAAAGCACACAAAAAATAAGGATTTTTGTAATAATAAAGCACTAGAAATTAAGGAAGTGTCCATCAGTTGACAAATGGCCGAACAAAGTATGGTACATGAATGTAATGGAACACTATTAAAACAGCTGGTGGTACTGGAACTGGAGTCCGAAAGAACTGAGCTCAAATCTAGCCTCAGACACTTACCAGCTGTGTGACCCTGGCCAAATGACATTAGCCTTTGTTTGTGTCAGTTTCCTCAAATATAAGGTGCAGATAATAACAGCACCTACCTTGCAGGGCTGTCATGAGGATAGAATGAGGTAATATTTATAAAGTGTTTCACACAGTTCCTGGCTCATAGGAGGCACTATATAAATTCCTACGCTCTTGCCTTCACCATCATGGGCTGCTAGAAATGATGGAAAAGTCTGTTTTGTACAAACTGATGCCGCACGAGCAGAACAACGTATCCAATAACATCATCCCTGCAAAAACTTACACTTTTGAAAGGCTTCAAGAAAGTCTGAAAAATGCAGTGATCCTGGAGAACTAGTGATGAAGGATGTTGATAGGCTACATGAGGCACACATTTTTGGACACGGCCAGTGTGGGAATTTGTTTTGCTTGACCATGCTTATTTGCCTCAAGATGTTTCCTCCCACCCTTCCCCCATTGGGGGAGGGGAGAGGTAAGAGGTGAAAAAAAATAAACGCTTGTTAGGAAAAAAATTAAAATTTTAAAAGTGGAAGCAATCAGTGGTCGAACATTACAAGAAAGCAGACCAGCTTAACATAAGGAAAACATCTCCTAACCACTAGAGATATCCAAAAATGGGGTGGAAGGGGGTGAGTTCCAAGTCACATAGGGTCTTCCAACGAAGGTGAGGCTAGCCTTCAAGGAAGGCCTTCCTGTTGATCATGGGACTGAGTACCGTCTGAGGTCCTTGCCCTCATATTCATATGCTATTAAAAAAAAAAAAAGACACTTTTCTCCTGGTGGAAAAGTGGGGTAGAAGTGGTTGGAAAGGAAGGGTCTGTTTCTTTCACTATGTGGCTCCCCTCTCCCAAATCCTAGGAGCAACAATCTGCAGTGGGTGGGGTGGTCCATGCCTTAGGACTAGAGAAAGAGTTGCTTTTTCACTGAGATTCCAAGTCATATACTCCTGGGTGGTATGTATTTGTGGGCTCCATTTGTAGGCACATTCTCAGCTTCTGCCCAGTACTGAGGACTTTCCTTTGTGTTAGTATCTGGTCTAGGAGATGATCAGCCCATTCTCTGGCTGGCCACTGTCTTTTCAGTCCAACCAACTGCTGGGTTCTGTCTTTCCAGGTTTACGAGGAGTTTAGCATCCAAAGTGGCAGAGCATACCTCGGCAGGCTTATATTAAAAATGCCCTTTAAAATTCCAAAGCTTTGAACTAAAGAAATACCTCAAGAAGTTTTCATGGAAAGTTCAGACCCACCAGTTCAATTCACTACACTTAGATGAACCTTTTCAAATAATAGGAAAAAAATGTAAAGGGGTCAGCGCCAATCAATACGTGTGTTCAAACAGAATTCCGGGGACTGTGATGTATGTGCATTTTGTATTTTTCCTTTGTACCGCGCCCCTCTGAAGAAAGGTTTCTTTTGCTAGGAGAGCAATGAGAATGTTAGCCTTTGAGTAGAGTCAGTTAACCAATGGCGATGTTTACCAGGTGGAAAGGATATTACCATTTTTCATGTCTTTTTCCCCGTATGTGGCTTTGTTCTTTTTATAACCATGAACAACTCACGCAGGCAAATTCTTTCACAAACCCGCGACATTAGATGTTAATCAGAAGCAGAGGGACCAGAGTATTTGACTTCCAAGTCTCAGGAAATTTGGTGTGAGGATTAGAAGGATAACCTTTACTCATCAGGAACCCAGGAGGGAATAGTGAATCCTTCCTCAGAGGGTGGAAAAACCCAAGCCTGCTATGTTACAGGGGCTTGGTGAGTTATCATGAGGGCCGGGGAAAAGAGATGTGACACAGACAGATCGCTTTTTAACTGGTCCTTCTCGGCTAAGCCAGAGGACTGGACCCCACTCCTCAGATGACCAGGTCAAGGGGCTGCTGGGACCTTTAGCCTGAGGCCTCATTAGCTCAGCAAAGCTCTATGCAACTAGGAAGGATGAGTCTGGAATCCCTGAGAAGCCCAACAAACAGGCTTTCAAAACCAGGCAGTCCTAGGATGTGAGCTAATATCTAGTTACTCACTGTCTGACCAGACAGCAAATAGAAGAAAAAGAGATTACTATGGAAAGCAGGTGATATATTTGGAATATATGTATAATATAACCTCAGCATTTGATAATGAATGCCCATTATGGATTTGAGGAACTCTGTATTTCAGTAGAGCAGGACAGATTAGATAAAGCTATTAATTTTTCATTTGAGGTCTTTACTTCTGGTTACTAATGAAATTAGCTACTTACTGTCATTCCAGATCTTTGCCTCAAAAAGAACCAAACCTAAGCTCCTATCATCACCCAGGCAGTGACTATTACCAACTCATTGACTGGAGCCATATTTTCACAGCTGTCATCTGTTGGAATCGTTTGTTTTACCTGAGGTTTCTTTAGGTTGATTACAGTTTTCACTAATTGTTAAGATGCAGCACTCTTGATTTTCTCAGTAGGCATGAGTTGCTAGCTTTCATTTTCTTGCCAAAAATCCAATCTCATCTGGATTTTCATAGAATGACAGTGGTCAGGAAGATATAATTATGCTTAAATTAACAAATGATTAATTAGCCTTCCTAGCAGTTGTAAACAAGAATGCATTTGCTAATGGCAGACCCCTGATAATGGCCATTGGCCCAAAGAGAATCTTTAGGCTCACCCTAAAAATACACACACACACACACACACACACACACACACGTGTGTGTGTGTGTGTGTGTATAATATATCTTCATACACATACATACACATTCCACAGGGCAGAGTCAAATCACTGAACTGAGTCTGTTAATTGGCTAAAGTGAGGACAATAATTCACATGAGTATAGGGACCACTTTCTCCCTGAGTGCTTAGAGGATGCCAACAGCCAGTTTGCAAAATTAAAGAAAAACTCAGTCGATCAATGAATAAGGAGAGAAAGAGAAAGAAAGAGGGGAGGACAAAAGGAGAAGAGAGAAGGGGGAGAAAGAGAAGAGAGGAAGAAAGGGGAGAAGAGAATGGGAGAGGAGGGAGAGAAGGGGGAAGAGGGAAAGAGAAGAGAGAAACAGGGGAAGAGGGAAAGCAGGGGAGAAAGGGGGAGAGAGGAAGAAGAAGAGAGAAAGGAGGAGATAAGGGAAAGAGAGGAGGGAGAAAGAGAAAAGACAGGAAGAGGGAAAGGGAAGAGAGAAAGGGAAGGGGGAAAAGGGAAAGAGCAGGGGGAGAAAGAGGAAAGAGGAGGGAGGGGGAGAGAAGGGAAAGAGAGAGAGAGAAGGGGATGAGGGGAAGAGAGAAGAGGAAGACGGGGGGGAGAAAAAAGAGAGGAAGAAGAGAGTAGGGAGAAAGGAAGAAGAAAGCAGGGCAGAGAGACAGATACATGCCTTAGGTTTGTATCTGATGAGTTGCCAGCAGAGGGCTCAGGAACATTAGAAATACTAACAGCGGCAACGAAAAGTGTGGTTTGGGGTGTGGTTTTTATTTTTTGAGGTCATTCATCCCCAGTTTCTTCTTTAAAACTTGCTTTGAATTATGGTTACACAGAGACATCACCAAGAGCTATTGGAAGCCAGACTTACTTCAATTTTTTTTTTTCCAGTCTTAGCTCAGAGAGCAGCATCCTGAGTTTATTAAATACCTTGGAATCTAATTTCCCCACTTTAAATAGTTGGAAAGTCACTCTGAAGCATTGGTATTCATTTTGGGAAAGATCCTCCTTTAACATCTCATGACACCTTGCTACTGAAGCATTCGGGAAATGCAAACAAGTACATTTTTTTTTTAAAGGGCATCACTTGAGACTGAACAGGATTTTTGTTTTCTTTTGTTGGGGCCTAAGTCATAAGTTAAAGCTGTTCAGTATGACCCCGGTCTTCAGTGTTGTTAAGACTTGGGAGCTGCATCCCTGAAATGGGCCTCCAGGATTGGATCTGGAGTGAAACCTGCTTCTTCTTTTGTTTCCCACCCAGCTAAAAAGAACCTGTCCTCAGAGTGGTTCAACAGCTGCAGAATGACCAGTTGAATCCTGGAAACATATGGGTTTTTCCTACCCTCCCCTGCCCCCCACAATTTCTTATTAAACCAAATATCAAGAAATTTCTAGGGGTGAAGGATGCTCTCCAAGGCCGAGTCAAAGCATATGGGAGACACACATGACACAGGGCTGCCAGAGCAGATTTCAAAATATGTGGAAAAATTCATTAACAGCCACTTACCAGGATTCCCAGAAAGAGCCAGGAAACATGTCTGGTTAATATTTTAATCTGTACATACCTTTTTTTTTTTCTTCAAACCATTACACTTTTATTTAAATTAACTTTTTCTTGCAAAATATTCATTTCCTTTTTTTTCCGACAAAATTTTTTATAAAGGCAAAAATAAAACCATTTCATTTTGGCAAGTGTTATGAAGTTGACACTGGCAGTAACTGGAGTGAGTTAAAAATAGACGTGTCTTCTAAATAGCTTCAAGAATCATTTTTTTTTTTCTGAATAGAGTCAAAAAACAATAGGAATTTTTATATTAATCAGCGACTTGTAGTTCCACTCACCAGGTTTTTTAAAAAAAACTTTTTTTTTTTCAATTCAGGAAAACATACCTGGAACACGTTAATAGTCTTGCAAAACACTGCAAACATCTCGGTGACCTGCCCCCTCCTCCTTGCGGGCTGGCCACTTAACCCAAAGTCCTGTCGTGTCACCGAATTTCATTTCTGTAGAAAACCAAGTTTCTGCAGGAAAACGTTTTCCTTCTACAATGCACTAACATGGTTCTCGGGAGTCTAGCTGCCCGCCTTCAGCAACTGGCCTGAGACAACCACCCAAGAAGGAGAGGCTTGTGAAGCAGACCTCAGAGCGAAGGTCAAGGCCCCTGGAACCACAGGGCCACTGGCAGGATATCAAAGGCCCTTCTGGACTCACTTGATGCTCCAGCAGGCCACATCTTGCATTTGAAGACAATTGAAGAGAAAATCAAGATGTGTCGGTCAAACATCCCCTGGGTTCAGTTATTGCTTACTATACGACTTAAATCGCTTCTCTTTCTCTCTCCGTTTGGTATTTCCAAATTTTATTCATTCATTTCTTAAAAGTGAATTTTTAAAAAATTCTGGTAGAAGACCCAATTCCTTCTAAAGCTACATACACTGTAAGTGTATACATTGCCAAAAGGTGCCCAGCTGGTCAGAATCCAGCCAGCACCTCTGACCAAAGGGCAGATAGTCTGGGGCTTCTGCTAACAATACTGGCTGCTAAGCATAAATGACATTCAAGGCAGGATGCAAATCCGTGTTTCCAGTGAGTAGGAGGGATCGTTGACTTTCTTCTCCCAGCAGAATCCTTGCGATCTTTTAGCTCCAGCACCCAGGAAGTCATTCTCAGGCTAAATTCTCCCCCAGATTCATCTCAAACATAACATGCTTTTCAAGTGTCAGCAATGATTTGCGATTCCAGTTCCTCACCTCTCTCCTCCTCCTAACTTAACCCACCACCCTCCATATGCGTACCTGAACGTGGCCCCCCTAACCCTGCCACCTCTGTATAAATACCTTTCCATCCACTCAGCCCTTGAGAATGTTAAAAAATATATTGTTTCTAAAATACAGTGTCAGTATTTTACAGCTTGTATTAGAAGTGCCTTTTTATACATATATAAAAGTCATAACTGAAACGTGTGTGTGTGTGTGTGTGTGTGTGTGTGTGTGTTAGGAACTAGCCTACAGTGAGTGATTCATTCACAGGATGGTTGGGAGGGTGGGGGGGGTGTCCTTCCCCCCTTCAGAAAACCTCTCCCTGGCCTCTCAGAATTTCCTTTGGGGAAAGCAAGAGATCTTCTCCAAGGGTGTTGGCTCCATGGGCTCTCAGCTCCAGGCCTCTCTTCAGGACATGGGTCACTGGTCACTGGTCAGTTACTGCTTGGGCTGGCACAAAGTAAAACAGAGTACAGTTAGGAGCCGAGCAGCGGTCAGCACCATCAGCCTGCGTACTGAAGAAACAGGGCACATGAGCAGGCAAGAAGCATGTCTGTGAACGTGGGCGCACACACGTGTATACACGTGCACACACACACACACACACAACAGGAGCGCAAGGCTGACATGACGGGGCGCACAAGCAGAGGGGGGGCATGAGGCCTCCCGGGTGCTGCTCGCCCATGGCTGTGAATCCCAGACTCCCTCCTGGCCAGGCTCCTCACAATTTCTGGACAACTCCAGACATGTTGGCCCCTGGATCAGAGCTATGCCTTGAGAGGGAGGTGGGGGGATATAAGACGAAGGTGAAAAGGCATCAAGAGACTAGATTCTAAGTTATGGCACTGCCACTAGCCATCTGTGTGATCTTGGGCCAGTCTCTCAACCCCCCCTATGCTTCAGTTTGCTCATCCAGAAAATGAGTGTGGACAATCTCAAATGTCCTTTTCAGCTCCAAGAATCTAAATCTATGAGTAAATAATGTGAGTCATGGTCTTGGTTGGGCCGTGAACAATCTGTGTGACCTTAACTTCACCTCTCCAGGTCTCAGTTTCCTTCTCTGTAAAATGAGAGGGAGATTAGATAGCCACCAATATTGCCTTCTATCCATAGCCTTCTAGGAATATATCTAGCATTTCCTTCCCCCCAAACACCAGGAAAAACAAGGAACCGTTCTCTAAACAATCCAACCTAGCTGTTAGACCTGTGAGCCTCAGTCATCTGCTTATCAGATTGAACCCGGGTTGCTGGGGAATAGATGAAATGAGAGTTTCTTAAGTTTTCCAGGTGGTAAGGAACCAGTTCACAGAGATCTGATTACGTCATGCAGTAAGATATAGCCTTTCCCATTTATATACCATCTGATGAGTCTACTGCAGTCCCTTTTCAGGCACGGTTAAGGCTGGACAAGTCGCCCAATTCCCTTTGAACTCTGAGATTCTGTGATGAATCTTGGTCCCAGAGGATACAGGGATACTTTCCCTCATAGCTTTCAAAGTGTTTTTCTCTGCTACTGACTCATTTGATCTCCATGACAACAACCCTGTGCGGTTGTCAGGGCTGGGATGATTGTCTCCTATTTTTTTCCAATTGTGTTTTTTTGTTGTGTTGTTGTTAGTCTGTGTGTGTGTGTGTGTGTGTGTGTGTGTGTGTGTGTGTGTGTGTGGTGTGTGTGTCTGTTTTTTAAACTAAAGCTTGGCAAGGTTAAGGGACTCACCCAAACACACAGCTAGTAAGGAGAGGCGCCTAAAGTGAATTAAAACTTCCTCTCCCATCTACGGTTTAGACAAAGTTGACAGAAATAAATAGATCTCATCGGGAAGGAAGAGGAGTTCCAATCGATCACTACTCCAAGGAGAAGCATCTAGGAAGAGACATGCTCCACACTGCAGGGCAATGAAGCATCCAGAACAGAGGCACCACAGAGGCAAGCCAGGCAGGCCAAGCGGATGCGGTCATTAGTGCTTACTTGGAAGGTGCTTAGACAAACGTGTAGTGAAATCCATTGCTTAAGGGGGGCTGTGGTACAGAAGGTGAGGGGAGGCCCTTGGACAGCAAGGCTGACTGTTGAGCTAGACAGAATCACACAGGAATTAAGCAGTGCGTTAGACATAGGATTGATACAAACTGTCGACACAAGTCCCCAACGATCAGCCGGACACCCCAAACACCTGGCGTGGGAGGGCAGCAGGAACCAGAAGGGCAGGGCAGGTGACCTCACCAAGGCCACCCAGCCTCAAATCCCAGGGCATGAAGGGGGTGGTGGGGAGGAGCAGTGAGGCAGGTGGTCATCCCCAAGGCTGGCCCCATCTGGAGGGAACCCCAGGGTCCTCTGTGGGTCATAAAGCCCTGAAGGTGGCAGAAGACAGGGGCAGCAGATAACATGCAGGAAAGACATCAGAACATCTCTGTTCTCTGACTGGAAGATTCTGCTCTGGTACATGCTAGGCTTGACTCCAAGCAGGCAATTACCAGGCTTTAAAATTAAGCATGTAGCAAATAGAGTAAGAGCAAGTACAGGCCACAGAGGAAATAGGAACTCTGTCTCATCAGTAAAGGAATTCCCATGAAGAAGTCGTCACCCAGGCTTCCTCATAATTAGCTCCCTAGTTCAGCCTCTAGACCCACCTCAGACCATTAGCTGCTCAATGTAGAAGCCATTTTGGGGTGTACAGCATTAGGAAGAGACTGTGGCTGAAGCGTGGGAGCATATGTTGGGAGAAACACATTAGATGTAGGCAGCCCTGGGCTGAAACCACAAGACTGGTAAAGGCATGGCCCCTGACCTAGGGTGATGAGAAACTGGAGTGATTTTAGCCAAATCTGATAAAAATGAAATTTAATAGGAATAAATGTAAAATCCTACACTTGGGTTCCAAAAAAAAAATAATAAAATTGACTATACAAGTACAAAAGGATCATATGGAAAAATCTGGAGGCTTGAGTGGACTGAAAGCTCAATGAGTCTGCAGCCAAACTCTTTCCCACGAACCTACACCTAATGGGATCTTAGGCTCTGCAAATATCTCTCTCTGAATTTGCCTCTTATTAAAAACTTTGGAATCAAATTGAGATCTGCACAATTTTAGCTACCCAGTCACCTGGAAGGTCATAGTAGGGAAGGGGGTTTGCACCAGGACAGAGAACACTCACTTCAGAGGCTGTACTCAACATTTGTGCCCATGACTTAGATCCAGGAATTAATGGCGGTGGCTGTCAAATTTGCAGATGACACCAATGACCCAGTAGAAGGTAAACTCTTTGTTCACATTTGTCTTTGTCACGTCCCAACACCAAACTCTGTGCCTTGTACATAGCAGTCCTCATGTTGAACTGAATTGAATTGAGGAAGTATAACTAATTGGGATCCTTAACAAAATACTCTAGAAGGATTAGAAGAAATCTAATAGAAATAAATGTAGAGTCTTAAGTTCCAAAAGAAAAATCAATTATGAATAATGAGGTTCATATTAAAAAGATCAGGGGGTTTTAGTGGACCCAAGGCCTGACATGAGTCAGCTGTGTGCTACAGAAGCTCAAAAAAAAAAAACCCACCTCACCAAAAAAACTAATGGGATCTTGCACTGCACTAAGAGAAGTGGGGGAGGGTGGGTTCAGAATTGGGAAGGTACCTGTCTTTCTGCTTCCATCATCAGATCACACCTTGAATATTATATTCGCTTTCAGGTACCACAATTTGGAGTGAAGACTGACAAACTGGAGCACAACCAGAGGAAGGCAATTAGGCTACTGAAAGGACTAGGCTCTATACCAGGATCCATGGGACAAACTATCTTTAGTCTCAAACTTCTGGGTCTCAGAATCCCTTTACACTCTTTAAAACTTTCCAGAAATCCCCTCCCCATCCCTGCAAAGATCTTTTGTTTACATGGATTATATCTATTGGTGTTTACCATTTTAGAAATTAAAACATCTTAGTGTCATTTTGAAAAGAGTTTTGACCTCCCAGACCCCTGGAAATGGTTTTTTGAGACCTCCCAGACCACACTTTGAGAATCACTGACCTAGAGAAAAGACTTGAAGGGAGGCGGATGGTCAATGATCATCTTGCCAATGACCACCTGCCTCGGTGTCTTCTGGTATTTGAAGGGTGGCTCTGGGGAAGAGGGATTAACCTGGTTGTCCTTGGCCTCAAAGAGCAGACCAAGAAACATCAGGTGGAAATTACACAGAACCAGAGAGAACTTCTTAACAAGTAAAACTGTTTGAAACTCCAATGGGCCGCCATAGGAGTTAGTGAGTTCCCCAAAAGTAGTAGAAATCTCACAGAGGGCATGTCTACTCACATAGGGGATTGACACAGAGATACATTAAAGTGCCTTCCAATTCAGAGACTCTAGGATTCTATACTCTGGCCTCTCTGCCAATCACCCGCCTCTCCTGAGGCCCAAGGAACAAGTCTCCAGCAATGCACAGGGTCTCCTCAACTTCTCATCAGGCTGGAGGATGTCTACAATGACTTCTCAAGAAACCCGCTAGAAGGATTCCAGTAATTGTTAAGGACATCTTTCCTTTACTTGTCAGAGTCCACTCTAGGCCATGATGGCTGGAGCACTGAATGACAGCAGTGCCTGTTGGGACTTGGGGACAAAGATGCCTGATGCTGAATGACCCAGATGTCCCAGAGCACACAATCTCCTTCTAGGCTTTGCCCCTCAGAAAGGCAGGTGTGGGAGCCCTTGGAACTCCCTGGATACTGCCCTTTCCCCAAATGCCCAGCTGGATAGCAATAAGTCTCCTTTGAAGAGAGAGAGGTTTCATTCCTGGCCAAATAGCATTTGGGGAGCTGAACAATGTTCAGAACAGTGAAACTGTTCCTAAGAAAAAGTCAATATTACTCCTGAAATAGTTTCCCTCTCCCTCTCATGAGTGTGTTGGGGGAAGACAGGGGTCATCTATATAAGTGGTGTTACACTCAAATAGAAAGGATCACTGGACCATATCTAAGGATCCCCATGGGCCCTACTGACTTAGAAAACCACATATTAACATCATACATGTTCTATTATATTTTTATGTATTTTGTAAAATATTTCTCAATTCCATTTTAATCTGGTCCTGGCCTTAGGAATGCTGCCGGCCACAATGTTGCCGCATGTTTGACAGCTCTGGTCTATGTGGCCAGTCCAAAAGTTTGCTTTGGCCACCACTGTAGAGAGGAAGCTAGAAAAACTCAGCTTTAGTGGACAGTAAGGAGGTGTCTAGTTGGAGACATTATGAATGGACAGGCATTCAGTTAGGCCAAAAAGTTGTGGCCTAAATCAGACAGTCAGGACCAGGATACATGGGCAGGCAACCCACCTCCCCTAGGGAGGGCTAGCTTGACTCTGGTCCTCCTACTTAGCCCCCACAAATAGTCTCAGAAAACCATCTCTCCAGTTCATTCATCCTAAGTGCCAACTCCCATAGCTCACCCTGGTGGCCCCAGAGATAGAACTAAGTTTTAAATCCTCGTTTTGAGAGCGAAGCTGACATGCTGATAACTTCAGTAAGAAGTTGAAAAAAGCTGCCGTCCCACCCACCCTCCCTGCCCCCAACCACAACCCCCTTTCCTACTCCCCTACTTGAGACTGGCAGACAGGTCACTTGATTACTTCTTTCTCCATGGGACTGAGAGTCTGGCCTAGGACAGTGTCTTCTTGCTTCTTGTAAAGAAATTAATCCTCTCTTGGCATGAACCTCACATCCCTGGGGGAATGCCTCCTACCCAGAGGTTTGCTGCCTCTAAGAGAGGGTGCCCTGGATACAGCGTGAGTGGCGGTGACATGTGAGAAGGCTCCCAGGACTCAGGAAGGGGCCTGGCCACAAGTGGTCCCTTGGGATGGGAAGCAGCGAGGTTTACCTGCCACCTGCTTGCTACGCTGGGAGGCTTCAGAAGCCAGGGTGTGGGAGATATGGAAGATGCGTTCTTGTTCCTGGAGCTGGGAGTCGAGGTCGGCTGAGCGGTTTTTGTCCTGAATGGTTGGAGGCTGGAGGTTGTGCATGCTAGAAGCCAAGAAAGAAAGGAGGCGGTCACCCACCCACCAGAGGGCAGCTTGATGATGGCTTGTAGGAGCAAGGACAGACCCCTCTCCCCGTACCCAGATCCTTCCAGGGAATGGGCGGGGCAGTGAGGAGACTAGCTTTACACATGGGCCCTAAACCTAGGCAGCCTGGGTGGACTCCCTATTCTGCATCCTCTGTCTGCCACACTTATCCCTCCTCCAAAAACACGCTCAGTGTATATGGGAAGCCAAAGATCACCAATAACATCTAGGATAGGACAGAATAGTTGTCACATGGATAGTAAGTATCAAAGGTCAGATTTGAACCCAGGTCTTCTGACTTTAGAGCTAGTTAAATTTCTATTCTATCACACTTGCCATCTGGCAAGTCACTGAAGACTCAGTTACCTCACCTATAAAATGGAAATATTAATAGAACCTACCTCACAGGGCTGTTGTGAGGCTTGGGTAAAGTGGCAGGGACTAGACTGGTAGACCTAATTCCCAGGTGAGGAAACACTTTCTACAAATTCAGGTCAGCTACTTCTCTGAAATCTAAAGTCTTAGAGAGTTGACTGGAGCATTGAGAAGACAAATAACTTGCCCCGGATCACAAAGCCAATATGAAATAGAGGTTGGACTCATATCTGGCTTTGAGGCCAACTTTCTATCAGCTATGGCATGAGCCCCCTTCATTTGAAGAGAAAATGAAATAACATACAAACTGCTATGCACACCTTAAATAACTACTATTTATCAGCAGTTATCATCTGAGCCCTGTTTCTGAATTCTTGCAGGAGTAAGAAGGTCATTTCAACTCGATGTCAGAGAGAGAAATGATGCTGACACTTGGACTTCACTGACGTGGGTATACCCTCCAGTGACATAAGTGGAGGCCAGGATGGTGCAGAAGATGGAGGCTGGGCTTGGGAGTCAGGGAGAACTGAGTTAAAATCCTAACTCTGCTATTAACAGTGTGGCCCTAAGCAAGTCACTTAAACTTTCTTGAATCTTAGCTTATCCATCTGTAAAATGGGGATAATTATAGCAGCTACCACACTGGGATGGTAGCCTTAAAATTGCTATATTGCCAGCTGCTTATAATTATTATTATTGTTGTTGTTGTTGTTGTTGTTGTTATCATTCACCTAATTCCTCCAAACACAATCTTTAGTTTCATGAATTTTTTTGGACAAAATAATTCCTGCCGTAGAGGTCAACTTTTCTGAAATCAGCTAGTGATCCTTGGTTGTCAGCATGGTGGGAAGCCATTAATTGAGCCAATAACTCTCCACTTTAGGAGGATCTGGCCATGTGGGTCTTCTGTAGGAAGAGCCTTCCAGGACCCATGGACACCTCGACAAGTCCACTGAGGCAGGGGAGGAATATCTAGGCAATTCTCAATGTTGGGAGGATATGCGGAGACACACATGGAGCCCTAGTACAAGGTACTCCAATGCTTGCCTGACCTGATCCATTATCAGTATGTGGATGGGGCTGGGAAAGAGGATAAGGGAACCCAGGATGAGATGCTGACCTCGAGCAGGTGAGGAGGTTACGGATCTTCTCGGCTTTGCGGAACCTTGCCTCTAACTCTTCCAGGCTGAGCGGCTCCTCGGGCTCCAAGTCCACATAGCGTTCAGGGATGGACACCTTATCTGGCTTGGACAGCTAGGCAAACAAAAGGAATAGAGAGAAATTCTGAAGCTGGGCACCTGTCCCCCACTGCCCTCCCCTCTCTGGTTAGTACCCATCCATTAGCACCGTAGCTGCCATGTACCAATAAATGTACACAGTGTTTCCTTCAATTAGATTGTAAGCTCCTAGAGGGCAGAACCAAATTTTTGCCCTGCCTTTGTCTCTCAGGGTTAGCACAGTGACTGATATCTGGTAGTAAGAGTTTAGTGGATGCTTATTAGTTTACTGATCAATCATACTTGGCAGATCTTTTGAGGTCTGCCTGAGAGGCTGGGCATTGCCCATCTGAGGGCAGCGGGGATATGGCAGGAGGGGAGGCAGAGAGAGAAGGGGGAAAGGGAAGGAAGCCAGTTCAGGGAGGTTCTAGACTAGCAAATTATACCGAGAGTTTCTAAATGCAAGTCACTCAGCCTATACTTGATCCATTTCTTTAGTCACGATCCCTTACATACCCTGTTGGGTCAGGGCAGGTATGAGGACCTGACCTGTGATTTCATAGGTATAGGGAACTCCCTGGGTGGAAAACTCCCTCTACTAATACCACATCTAATCATTTTAGAGAACTGCCCAAAGCACTGAGAGGTTTAATGACTTGTCCAGAGCCAGTATACATCTGAACTCGAACCCAGGTCTTCCTGGCTCCAAGGCCAGTTCTCAATGCACTATTTCTTTTTATTTATATATTTAAATTAATTTAAAAAATTTTTTTTTGCTTTTTGGTGAGGCATTCAGGGTTAAGTGACTTGCCCAGGATCACACAGCTAGTGTCAAGCGTCTGAGGCTGGATTTGAACTCAGGTCCTATCTCCAAGGCCAGAGCTCTATCCACTGCACCACTTGGCTGCCCCTATTTATTTTTTTTTACTTGCTTTTTTTCAAGGCAATAGGGTGAAGTGACTTGCCCAGGGTCACACAGCTAATAAGTGTCAAGTGTCCGAGGCCAAATTTGAACTCAAGTCTTCCTGAATCCAGGGCCAGTGCTCTATTCACTGTGCCATTTAGCTGCTCCCTTGATCTACTATTTCTGAATTTTGAATACTCTTTTCCCCCATGAACAAGCCCCAGGAAAGAGACACTAAGGCTTGACCGTGTGTTGGCAGAGGAGAAAAGGAAAGAGAGAGGGGAGCAGGAAAAGGGGACCTGGGCAGCCAGTGGGCAGTGGAAGAGGTATTAGCAAATTAGAAACTGAAGTGTGGCCAAGGAACAGAAGTAGAGATTTCTTGAAGCAGCAAAGACAGAAACTACAGAGGAGAGAGCACAGTCAGCAGAGCCTTGGGTTTGAATCCCAGCTCTGATGCTAATTAGCTACAGCACGCTCCCCACAGACAATTTATTAAGCCACTCTAAGTCATTATCTCCTCTGTCAAATGGAGAGAATACCTGTCAGGATCCACCTCACAGGGATATTCATACGACCATAGTCAGAGCTTGAAGAGACCTTAGAAATTGTCAGGTTCTCTTTTAACAGAGGAGGAAACTGAGGCCCAGAGATGTGAAACAACTTGCCCAATATTGTTAAGCCAGGGAGTGGCAAAGCTTGCATATGAACCCAGATCCTTTTATGCAGAACTCTTTAATGATTAAATGAAGCAAAGGACATGAAGTGCTTTGTAAAAATGTTAGCTATTATCATCTTCATTATAATTGTTTTTGTTGAGATAGGTAGTTTCAAAGTTCTAAGCCATGGGCTCAAATATTGATAGGTAGGCTGTGGAAAAGAAAACTGGGGACCAAGGTAGGGGTTTCTTAAACTGGGGAAGGGGGAGGTTCCAAATCACACTGCTATGACTTCCTGGGTTCCCCAGGACTGGAGGGAATCCTTCCAACCAAGGGCTGAGCCCTGGCGGCCCCCACGCAGAACAGCAGCCCCAGTGTTAGAGGCTCTTTCTTATGATGGAGAGGAGGGAGCCCAGATAGGCTTAGCTGGCAGGCTTTTCCCTAACGCTCAAAGGGTGAATTTGATCACGTTTGATCAAATTTTTAAAAACCAAATTAAATCCCACTTAAGGACACGCTCGCCCTCTGATTGATAATTGTTACCTTCCCTCATGGTGGAGAAAGTTAACAAACTCTCCTCTGTTTCCAATGGGGGCAGATGAAGAGGAAGTGTGATTTCATTACAGCAGGAGGGATTTAGGTTAGAGATAAGAAAGGACTTCCTGACTGGCAGGATTATTTGGGCACTATAGCAGACTGCCAAGACAGGATATGGGAGTTTGTTTCCAGAAGGGGACCTGTAACTTGACAAGCTCCTGGCTATCTCAAATCGCAAGAGGAAAGGCTCAGTGGCCCGAGGACTGGCACAGAGAACTCCCGGGGCCAGTGGGACCTGGATGGAAATGATTCTGCTACAAACACTGCTCTATTGTTCTGGGTAATTCAGTGAGCTGGTCAATAATTATAATAATATCTCACATTTATATAGTACTTAGAGGTTTGTAGAGTGCTTTCTCTATGATATCTCATTTGACCTGGAGAACAATCCTTTTTGACTGCACTTGAGGTTTTCTTGTCAAAGATACTGCAGTGGTTTGCCATTTCCTTTTCCAGCTCATTTTACAGATAAGGAAACTGAGGCAAACAGGGTAAAGTGACTTGTCCAGTGTCACACAGCTAAAGTGTCTAAGGTCGGATTTGAACTCATGAAGATGAGTCTTCCTGACTCTAGGCCTGGCACTCTATCCACTGTGTCACCTAGCTGCAAATCCTTTGGGGTGGGGGTTATTATTTTCTCTATTTTATAGATGAAGAAAATGAGAATCAGAGACTCTAAGTGACTTGTGGGGGTCACACAGCTAGTAAGCATCAGAGGTGGGATTCCAACCCAGGTTCTCTTGATTCTAAACCTAGTCAGTGAGGGCTTCTCCCCCAACCTGGTCTCCAATTCTGTGAGGAAGATGGTAATGTATGTATGTGTGTAGGGAGGAGCAACCACTATGAGTCTTGGCTGAAGACCAAGGTTGTAGCAATTCTCTTTAGGGAATCTACCTCATGATGGTCACTGACACTGGAGTTCTGAATGCGGAAGCCTAGAGACATGACCACTAGGCCTCTTATTATAACTATTTAATAATGGCCATTCTTAAATATCACTTAATAACTATTATAAAATGTTATTTAATAATTATTGCACATAATTTCACAACTAAACAATGTTTAATAAATATTATTGAATCATTTAATTATTATTTAATAATAACTCACATTTATATAGTACTCAAAACCTTTCAAAGTAGTTTACATATGCAATCTCATTTGATTGTCACAATAACTCTGTGAAGGGTTTAATAATATTAAATGATTATTTAATAATTATTTAGTTTTATTTAATTACTTAATATTAGCATCCAAGGTCCCCTTTGAATTAGACGTAGAGATGTGGAGCAGAGTGATGCCATGTGTGCAGTTATATTGGAGCTGCTTCATTCATTCATTCATTCATTTACTTAACCAACACTAATTAAGTTCCTATTCTATACAAAATGCACCATGCTTAGTTTCAGGCCCAGAAAAACTAAAACATCTTGTTAGGTCCCAAAAGAACCTGTACCAAATGGGAACTTATTATTATGCTCCCTGGACCCGCTCTTTGTTCAAATGCTCTGATTTCCACTAACAGCACTGCCGTCCTTCAGATGGCCCCAGTGCAGCCTCAGCATTATCCCTGTGTCCTCCCCATGGCCTCTATATCCACTTGCCCGGCTCCTCTCACTCGCTCAGGCCCTCGTCCCCTTTCCCCCGAGCTATTGCAGAAGCCCCGAATTGGTCTCCCTGTTTCAAGACCAACAATCCTCCAATCCACACAGCTGCACAGGCTAACCAGATCACTCCTTGGCTGAACAATTTTCAGTGGCTCCTTAGCGCCTCCAGGACAACATACACATTCTTCAGCCTGGCACCTTTAAATCCCTCCATGATCTAACTTCCCCTGACCTTTCCAGGGTTATTTTACATCACTAGGCTCAAATCCTGCTTCTGACCCATACTGGCTGTACAATAACCCTGGACAAATGGCACAGGGGGCAGAGAGCTGGGCCCTGGAGTCAGGAAGACCTGAGTTCAAATCTAGCCTCAGACACTGTACAACCCTGGGTAATTCACTTAACTCCTCTGTCTACCTCAGTTTCCTTGACTATAAAATGGGGCTTACAGGGCTATTGTGGGGACCAAATGAGATATTTGTGAAATGTTTAGCACGTAGTAAGTACTCTATAAATGCTTCTTCCTTTCCCCTTCCCTGGGCTGTTGTGATGATCAGATGGGACAATGTTTAGCATACAGTAGGTGCTCTATAAATGCTTCTTCCATTCCCCTTGTCTGGGCTGTTGTGATGATCAGATGGGATAATGTTTAGCACACAGTAGGTGCTCTATAAATGCTTCTTCCTATCCCCTTCCCTGGGTTGTTGTAAGGATCAAATGAGGTAATATTTGTAAAGCACTTAACTCAGTGCCTGGAATTTCCTTCCTTCCCTCTTCAAACTCTCCTGTGTCCATCCTTATCCACTGCCTCCTTCTGCATGATGTAAGTAAGCTCTGTGAGGACAGAGCCTATGTCATTCTTTATGAAATCAGAGCGTTTGAACAAAGAACAAAGACGGATCCAGGGAGCATGATAATAAGTTCCCATTTGGTACAGGTTCTTTCGGGACCCAACAAGATGTTTTAGTTTTTCTGGGCCTGAAACTAAGAATGGTGCATTTTGTATAGAATAGAATATAATCCAATGTCTAGCACAGTGCTTGGCACAGAGAAGGCACTTAATGACCTCTTCACTGTGAGCTCCATGATAGCTTGCCTCCTTTTACCTCAGCCCCATTTGTCCCAAAGCCTGGTCCCCCTGACTCAAGGGAGTCCTCCAGCGCCCAACTGGAGAACATTTCTTTAACAGGTCTTGAGATGACATCTCCTCTACACCATTTTCTGTCCTGATGCCAGCTTTGAGATCCTAGGCTCATACATGGAGTCTAACTCAGTTCTTTTTTGAGGGATTATCTGGGAAACACTTCATTGTGACCTACAGCAAGAAACACTTGGCAAACCCAGCCTGGGAAAGCCTGGAGAGAAGAAGGCCATGGAAGGCGATGCTTCCATCAGCAAGATGACAGCCCCGCCAACTTTACCTCTCTGTTGATGTCTATGTCATATTCTTGAGGCTCTAGGTCCATCTCAGTCACGGGAGTAGCCTGTACTTTCAGCCAGCCATCCTCGTCTTTCTCCCCTCCTTGCATGGCTCTCTCAAGTAATTGCAAATCAAAGTCCTGTTCTCGCTTCCACTGGTAACAGACACAAAAGGGTTAAAAAGTGGTCACTGCCTCCTGCCAACTGAAACCTGCCCTTCCTTTGGGGGGACCCAGGCTGCTAGGAGTCATTATAGAAAAGCTGGACAGGAAAATGAAAAATCTCTGACCCTTTCAACAAACAGCCTGTTTCCCTAGGCTTAGCCTTTTAAGTAGTAAATAGCTGATGCCTATCTGGAACCTTGGGATTAACTACATTTACAAAACACAACTGGAGCTAGACCCAAAGGATGTCTGTTCACTCTAGGATACCAACTCAGAGCCATTCACCTCTGTTGGGATGAAGGCAAGCTGGGCGCCCAATTGGTAATTCTCAGCCCCTCAGCCAGGGCCTGATCCAAATCTCCCAATCAGCTGTACTGTGTAAATACCTTAGAGGATTGCCAGCTGGTGAGGCTAACAAATGCGGATGGTTGGAGTGGTATGGGGGAAACAGTGATGGATGTGGAGTCCAAGGACATAAGTCCAAATTTTGGCTCTGCTACTTATTACACATGGAACTCCACAAATTTTTCATCTTTATTTGGACTCCAGTTTCCTCATCTATGAAATGAGGGATAGAACTAAATAATCTCTAAGGTCCCCTCTTGCTCTAATCTATGATGTTAGGACAGTTACTACCAGCCCATGTGAGCCTATGGGCTCCTTTCTCAATTAAAAGACCAATATATTGGACTTGGAAAGAGGGAAAAACAAAGACCTTCACCAATCTTTTGGTAGAATGGGGATATTAGTGAATTCTTTCCACATATAATAGCTATTAAGATCAGCTAATGAGGCAGCCCATGGTGTAAGCTTATAGAACCCGAAGGTAGCTTTGGAGCTGAGTCACTCTGAAATTAGAGTGGGTTTATGTGGAATCGGTGAGGCCACTTTTAATTCAATGGCAAAAACCATGGGTACCTTAAAAACTATGCTCAGTCTGAGTTTTCTAATAACCCACTCCTGAATCTCCCGAAAATACTTTATGGTCAGCACTGGAAAGGCCAATTTCTACCTTCTTGTGTCCTAAAAAGTATTAACGCTGACCATGTTATTGTGAATTGTGAAAAAGGCTTTTCCATGCCTTTCTTCTCTTAGACAGTAGCAGATGTCCATCTTCTCCCTTCCCCCTGTCCCCTCCTACCCCAAAGAGTCCTAGGCACATCTGTCAACAATGCTAATGACAATAATAATGAAGATAAGATCGGCCGATTTCAACCTATTCACGCACAAGCTTTCCATACTGTATATTTAAACGGTCATTGCTCTCTCTTTGGTGAATGATTCTGAATGTTTGAAATGATTAGGATGTTGAAGCTCTTGTGATAGAGAAATCATGCAATGATTCTCAAAGAAGACATGCCGTTTTTTCCAGTCTTGGAAGAGTGATAGTCACTCTTTTAAGCCAGGCTTGATTACCTCCATAAAAAGAAGAGGACCTCTTTATTCTACGGTGCGGCCTAGTAAGAAACATATCAATCCATTATCATCAAGCAACATTTTTATTGGTGTCAATGCAGAGACTTATACATGTGTTTCTTCCAAAAAAAAAACAACCCAACAATAAAAAACCCACAAGAAGCTACTCAAGAGTCAGTCTGTATCTGTATTCTTTCTACATTTTGAGACACCTGGTTGCAAAAAAACAAAACAAAACAAAAAAGGCAATGTTATCTTATTTGGTCAGTAACCCACACACTGAGGCTGAGAGAGCCAGTGGACATCAGCAGCTCTGTACACGTCAGTGCCCCTGGAGCTCACCTCTCTGGCCACTAAATTAATAGCTACAAATAGGCTGCTTGACTACAGGTGGGGGGGAGCATGTTTTGATACTCACTCCAATCATTAATTATTGTCAACACAATAGCAAAAGGTGTCATTAAGAAACTGTGCGCATATATCAGATGAACTAGAATGACAAAAAAAAATACTTAGACTCAGCATAGCTCACTGGAATATGCAAAGATTGTGAACATATTTATGCTTTCCAGGGTGAAGGACTTCACTCGGATAAACATGTGTTGCCTAGCTCTCCGCTAGTATTCCCTAGAAGGGAACAGATCAGCAATGCAGAGACTTAGAGACAAGTGAACCACAAATCAGCATTACTGGGCTGGGCAGCAGAGGATGCTAGACAAGGACTGAAGGAGAGGGAGAAGTCACACTTGGGGTGGGGGATCGGCTATGCTATTGAGGCAGAGCTGCTAATGCAATGAAGCCTGGTAAAAACAGAGTGGGCTAGTTATGAAATGTCCAACACAAATTAGAAGCTTCTGTAAACAAAACAGGCGACATTAGAGGCATGATGAGCAATAACTCTAAAAGCAGGAAAACTTGTGCAATGAATTAGGTAAGGAGGAATCAGGCTAAATATCTAGGGAAACACATTATTAAACACAAAACACACAACTGAACTAAAATGGGGAGGGGAGAAAGAGAGAGAAAGAGAGAAAGAGAGAGAGAGAGGGAGGGAGGGAGGGAGGGAGGAGACAGACAGAAAGAGAGAAGAGACAGACAGACAGACAGACAGCAGACAGACAGACATCTAATACTACTGTGCCATTTAGACTCCTGGGAATCAGGACACTCCCTTTGTTAGCTTGGCTTCGGTTAGTGACCCAGGGGAGCATCACAAACTCCCATATTCTCTGCTTGAGCCCAAGCATGTCCTGGCTTCCGAAGGAACTATTCAGATCCCTCCTGAAGCCATAGTTCACTAAAAGAGCCCCAGCACATATCCAGAGCCCCTCCTGTGACACACACTTTGAAGTTTCCAGGGACGGTTACTTCATTTTGCTCCTTCTCTAGCAAATTACTGGGATCCCTCTTCCATCCGCCACACAAAATCAGTCATAACGTTCTGAAAGGCTGATAGAGAATTCCTAGAATGGCCTCTCCAGGAAATTCTTGAAATAAACTCTAGACTGACTAAGTCTCTCTAGACATCTCCTATCCACTAAGAAGCTCTCTCTCTGTTTCTCTCTCTCTCTCTCTCTCCCTCCCTTTCTCTCTTTCTCTCTCTCTGTATCATCTCCCATTCCATTTTTTGACCATCTTTCCCCTGCTCAAACACAGCCCTCATTTTGAGGAGAAAACCTTAACCAGGACTACTGGCGCTGCTGAAGCAGACAGCTCGCTCAGGCAGAGTTCGGAAGCCCTGCTTTAAAGTGTGAAGGGGGGAGGCACAAGCAGCCCAGTCCTCCTAGTAACATACTGAGCCGAGGTCTCCAGGGCTGGGACGGCTGAACATGTGGGACGAGGACACACTCTGTTTCTCGCCCTGGCTCAGCGTCTTCTTGCGCTCCCGGACGAGGGCCTTCTGGTGCCGCTTCATCCTCTCCAGCTGCTCCTCAGCGCTCATCTTGCCCCTCAGGTGGTCTCCAGAATACAGACGTTCCAAGGCACTCTTGGGTCTCTGGGAAGGAGGCATGTGACAGACAGAACACACAACCTCAGAGGCTGAGAGCCCAAAACACAGAAGGACTCAGACCGCCAGGACTAACTTCTAGCCCTGTGGCCTCTTCAGAACACTTTCACAGAGAATAATCTCAGGGACAGAAGACACCTCAGAGGTATATAATCCAATCCAGCAAGCATCGTGCTAGGTGCTGGGGAGACAAACTGGAATTTTAGAAAATAGTCCCTGCCCTCATGGAGCTTCCATTCTAGTGGCAGGAAATAGCATGTCAGCAAAACGAGTAGGTGTATAATTAACTGAGGAGGATGAAGCAGACACTAATACTAGAGGAAATGAGCTGGGCCTTAAACCAGAGGAGGGGGAAGAGTATGCTGAGGCATGGGGACAGCCTAGGCAAAAGCATGGAGGAAAGCTGAGATTAGGAAGAAATAAGGAGGCCAGTTTGGGTGTAATATGGAATGTGGGAGAGAGAAGAGTAGGAAATAAGCCTGAAAAGGTTGGCTGGAGCCAGGCTGGGAAGGCCATGGGAGCCAGCGGCATGGCACAGTCAGACTGCGTTATAGGAAGTTTATTTCAGCAGCTGTGTGGAGGATAGTTTGGTCCCATTTGCACCCAAGCAGGGAACCTTCTACATCATGATGCAATGGGAAGAATGAAGGCTATGGAGTCAGCTGTCCTGGGTTTGAATCCCGGTTCTACCATTAGGAAATCACTGTACTTCTCTGGCCCTCGGTTCCTTCTTCTGTAAGACAAGTGGGCCAGACCTCTGAAGTCCCTTCCTGCTCTAACTCCAAGATCCTATGAATTTCTATCTTCAACAGTTGGTTCAGACAGCCTCTCTCTGTGTCTGGACTCTCAAATATGCCAAGGACTTGTGATTTCTTTAGCAAGAGGGAACCCTCCCTGCCAGCTCAGAATACTATTAGGCAGTAACTCCAGAGCTAAGTCCTAGAGAGTTGTGTGAAATTGAAAGAGGGTAAGGGACGTGTCCAGGGTCACACAGCTAGTCAGTGTTTGAACCAGGATCTGAAGGTGGGTCTTACTGCAAGCCTTGCGCCTTCAGGCATCCTTGACTCTTAATTATTACAACATTTTTCCTTTTATCAAGTTGAAATCTGCCTCCACAACTTGTATCTGCTCAAAGGGCTTCTAGTCTTGCCCTCTGAGGACAAGCAAGATAAATATAATCCATCTATCATTTGATGGATAGCCTCGAGGATCTTGGAAGACTGTGAAGATGGCCTCCTGAAGTCTCTCCTTCTGCAGGTTAACCCTCCTATGTTCCTTCAATTGGTCCTCCCGTGACATGGGTCCTTCACCATCCCTGTAACCACTCTCTGGCTTGTCGACGCTCCCCTTCTAAGCACATGAACATCTAGAACCGAGCACGATACTTTGGAGGACAGCCAGGCTAGCCTCTCCCCTTGTCCTGGCTAAGACAGCCTGGGATCCCATTAGTTTTTCCAGCTGCTGGGGTGTCAATGACCTATACTACTCACTTTCAAGGGCAGCCATGTGGCACAGCGGTTAGAGCTTCCAGTCAGGAAGACCTGAATTCAAATGGGTTTGGAATCAGGAAAAATCATCTTCCTGAGTTTAAATCTAGCCTCAGATACTTATCAGCTGTGTGACCCTGGGCCAGTCTCTTAACCCTGTTTGCCTCAGTTTCCTCATCTGTAAAATGAGCTGGAAAAGGAAAGGGCAAACAACTCCAGTATCTTTGCCAAGAAAACCCCAAATGGGGCCATGGAGAGGCAGACATGACTGAAAAACAACTGAACTGAACTGACTCTTAAAATACCATCATTGGTACAGATGATGAAGTACCGCGATTCTTAAGTCCCAGCCCTGGAGAGATTTCTACTAGATTTATAGAGATTCTTAACCTGAAGTCTACATTGTGATTATTCTATTTTACTATAATTGGTTTCTTTTGTAATCCTATGTATTTTATTTTACACATTTAAAAACAATTTTCTGAGTACAGTTTCATAGGTTTCACCAGACATTGACAATAAAAAAGGTTAGGAACAACGGAATCAGAATTTGCCAGATGGGAAAAGAATACAGTTGGGCTGCACAGGCAGGTAAGGGCCTCCTTGAAGCTCTACACAGTTTCTTTCTTTTGCAGACCACAGAGATGGGCAGAATGGTGAAGAAGTTGGCTATTCTTCTGACCCACACTCACTGTGGTACCCTGAGCAAGTCAGTAACCTCTCAGGGCCTCAGGAAACTCTTTAAGACAGACAATTAATTAAATTAATGTTTAAGATAATTAGTTTTAAAACAGGATTTATTAAGTAGTATTATGTGCCAGGTACCATACTCTAGAGATATAAAGGGAGAGAAAACCAGTGCCTGCCTTCAAGGTACTTGACTTCTAATGGGAGAGATAACATGGAAATGACTAAAGACAGAAGGAAGGCAGTTTGGATTAGCAGCCAGGGAGAACAGAAAAGGCTTGCAGAAGGTGGGATCTAAGCTGAGTGTTGAAGGAAGCCTGAGAAACTAAGAGGGGGCGGTGAAGGGGCAAAGTATGCTGAGGGACAATAGAGTACAGAGGAATAATATAGACAGATGTTGATGGAGGAAGGCTTCTTATCTGGAGATCGCTCTGAAAATAAATCCTAAGTCCTGTCCTGCTCCCCTATCCCAAATGTAGCTGGAGCAGTACCTCTTGGGAAGCACAGATTTGGGCAACCTGACCCCCAGCGTGGGCCTGGTAAGTAGGGTCATCCAGAGACTTTCATGCCCCTGCCCGTCCCACCCCTGCCCCAAGTTCAAGTGAACCTCGTCTACTCTCATCCCCACTCCTGAATGACTGAGGAGTCTTGGTTCCCAGGAAATGCTTGGAAGGATGCGAGATTTTAGGGCTGGGAAGACAGTGGGAAGTACACTGATTTTGGAGTCAGAGGACCTGGATTTGAACTCTATCAAGTGACTACCTGTGTATCCTTGGCCACATTTCTTTACCTTTCTCAGTTTCTTCATCTGTTAAAAAAAAAATGGTAGGTTGACTAGACTGTCTTGGAGGTTTCTTTAGGTTTAGCTGTATAATCTTGTGATTAAAAAAAATTCTAATTTAAATTTTTTAAAAAATTATTTAAATTTTAATTTTAATTTAATTTTAATTTTAAAAGGCTTTATAGCTGTTCTCTTTTTTTCTCTCCATATCTGTCACTGCTCACCAACTAATCTTAAGATTCTTAAGATCTTAAGAAGTTATTTTTCCTACCTCTAGGGAGGAACCTATCTAGCCCGTCTTAGATAACTGACCCCAGGAAAGAGGGTTTGGAAGATGGTGCTGCCAAAAGAAACATGATTTGAGCACAGGACAGGGAGGGTGGAAGCCCTGACAGGGCCACAAGCAAGCTTCTGACCACAGGATGGAAAGCCTGGGCTGTCCTGCAGAGGTTACCTTTGAGCTTTCCGCATTTAATCCCCTCCTGAGTGTAACGTAGGAAGGGATGGTAGATGATTGCTGGAGCCTGGATGTGGAGCCGGAAAAACCTGTGCAATGGAAGGAGAGGGAGAAAAAGAAATGGGCTCAGATGCCTTGGCAAAGAAGCTTCGTACACAGACAACATGCCCCCCCACACCCCCTGAGGACCAGCCCGGACCTGCCTAATATCTCCCCTTCTCTGCTGCTCTGGAACGGGAAAAGCTGAGGGAGCTCCAGCCAAGAATCTCCCTTTTCCCCTTCTTCCTCTTCATTTGAGAGCTCTGCATGTGTCCAGGAACAACCCTAAAGCCCTTACAGTTTGGCGTGCTCAGCTCAGCAGCCTATCCTTCTCCACATGGAAGGGGGCCAGAAGGAGAGGACCGGAAGCACTGAATAAATATTCCTCTAGAAGAAAGACTATGATTCAGTGCAAAGAGAAACTGATGGACAGTGAAGAGACCTGGGTTTTCATGGTAGGTATGTCTGTGTGTCTTTGAGCAAGCCACTTTCCTTCTCTTTAGGACTCAGTTTCTTCTTCAGGAAGTTTCAGAAAGAGGCAGAATACTTCCTCGGTGTGCTTGAGAGGCCTGACTAAGGGAATCCACCTAGCCTCTCCAGCCACGCACAGCTCAAAGGGCCCTGACTGTTTTGCATGATTTTATACATGTAAAATTGATATAAAATTGCTAGTCTTCTCAAGGAGGGGAGAGGGAGAGAATTTGGAGCTAAATTTTTTTTAAAATGATTGTCAAAAAATTGTTTTGCATGTAATTGGGAAATATTTAATTATATGTGTATATACATACATATACATACATATGTATGTATATGTGTATATATGTTTGTGTGTATATGTATATGTATATGTGTATATATGTATATGCCACAAAGGGCTCCAATTAAGGAGGTCCCAAGGCCACAGGTTCATAGACTTATGAGCTGGAGGGGACCTTAGTGGTCATTTACAACAGCTCTGTAATTTTAGAGAGGAGGAAATTAATAAACAAGTATTTAAGTGCCTACTATGTGTTTCTAGCTAGGTACTGGAAACTGTGACTCAGAGAGGTTAGGGGACTTGCTGAATGTCACACAGGTTGTGAAGAACAGGACCTCTATCTCCAAATCCAACACTCCAGGTGTCTGTGAATAGCTGGGGAGATTCCTTACTGGACTAGGAGTCCAATAAGGACTAGGACAAGTCCCAAGTTTTTTCTGGGAGGTAGTGCCTAGGAAACTAGCTGCCAAACCAGCTTTCCCCATGAGGTGGGGAAAGAGCCTTCCAGCACCTTTCATGAGCCTCATACTGATGAAGGAGAGGGCGTCTCCCCCAGCTCCTGGCCTGGGCTCCACCTTATGGCTTTTATCAAGCTCAATTCTCAGGGGCACTCAGTGAATAGCTCCTGGGGGGGTCACTCTAAGGGCAAAGATCCCTGAAACCTATACTGGGGCTTTGGGTCAGAAGGACTCTGATTTCTGAAGCTCTCAGCCATATTCTATTGCTTTGCCAGCCCCTAGAAGGCTGATGTCTTGGGAGACAGCTGCCTTCACTCCCCAGACCAAACCTGAGCCTGGAGCTGGCAGACCTGAGGTCCAGGTCCCATTTAATAAGGCTGGCAGCAGACCTGTCATAGTGGATCCCAAGTAACATAGATACACACACCTTCTCTCAAGGAAAATTCAGCTCAATCCAATAAGCATACACTAAATGCTTAGAAAAAGGAGTTAACTATTCGGGGCAAAATACAGGGTGCTGTGCTTGGGGTCTAGAAGACAAGAGTTCAAATTCTGTCTCACATACTTAATACCTATGGGACTCTGGACAAGTCATTTAACGTCTCAGCCTCAGCTTGCTCATCTGTAAAATGGGGATAATAATAGTACCTGCCTCACAGGGTAGTTGTGAGGATCAACTGAGATAATATTTGTAAATGCCCTGCAAACCTTACATTTTTATACAATGCTAATTATTATCAACTATTATTATCATTATCAAAAAAGGACAAAGCTTAGCTCTCCTCTCGAAGACAGCTAGGGCCCACCTTACCTCTCCCAGGTAGTGTCTGGTAGCCACTGTCAGGGCCCACAAATCCAAGGGAGGGCTGATTCATGTCACCACTGAGGGATGCCAGCTCTGGCTCACTCATATAGGAACGAAGCTCAACCTATAGGAAGCAGATGCAGAGCTGGTCATCCCTAAGCCCAGGGTTCATACGAAGAGCCTAACAAATGCAGCAAGGCCCACAGCCCTCCAATTCAGCCTCCAAAGGCTCTGCTGTCTGTCCCTTCCTTCCTGGCTCCCAGATTCCTACCCCCGGATGATGAGTGGCTGTGACTATCTCCTACCCAACTCTCACCTTGGAATCCCCATTCACACACTGCCCCAGTTCCCGGTCTCTCTTCCTCTCATCAGACTGACGCTTGAGGCCCCTCACGGAGGTGTGGCGGATGATGGTGGCTTCCCGAGGAAGAGGAGGCACGGCTGGAGGTGGGTCCTCAGGGCTGTATTGCTCAGGAAGGGGGGGTCGGGGTGGTGCCTCATCTTCCTGTTTAGTAGAATAAAAGTGGAATAATCCCTTGGTATCCAACACATAGAAATGAAACACTCGAGATGGGCCAGGAAATTCTTTTTTTCTCTTCTCTCTTCAGCATTTTTTTTCTCCCTTGTTCCCTCATTTAAAACAAAACAAATTCCCACATTGGCCGTGTCTAATAATGTGTATCTCGTTCCACCCCGAGTCCATCCCTTCTCCATCAGGAGGTAGGTAGATGAGTTCATCATTAATCCCCTGGAATTATGGTTGGTCAATCCATTGGTCAGAGTTCTGAAGGCTTTTAAAGTTCTTTGTCTTTATAAATGTTACTGTTATTGTAAGCCTTGTTCTCCTGGTTCTTCTCACTTCACTCTGCATCAATTCCTACTAATCTTCTCAGGTTTCTCTGAACCTGCCCCTTTTCTCATTTATTATGGCACAATTACATTCATATACCACAATTGGTTTACATTTGCAATTTTCCTTTGGTTAACAGTCCTTGGCCACTACAAAAAGAGCTGCTATAAATGGGCTTAGGGATCCTAAAAGAAGGTCATTAGGTGGGCATTGTCATCAAAGTAGAAAAGCATCAATACCCTGCCTTTGCTCACTACCATTCACGCCAGGCCAGTAAATATTTTATGCCAGGGGACTCTCGAAGGTGTTCATGTTTGGGGGCCCAACCCCTCCCACTGAGGCGGTACAGTAGAGTATTACAGATAAGAAAACCCAAGGATCATAGAGGCTAAGTAGCTTGAACTCAGGACATACAATGAGCCAGCAGACACTCGGTCCACTGCTCTTGGCATTCCACAATAAACAATGCCTTATTCCTCCTGTCTACCCTCTTTGTGGTGACTTCCCTAGGGTAGGGAACAGATTAGCAAATCGTTCCCACTTATTAACAAGCTTAGAATACCATGGAGCCCACTGTATGAAAGATTTCTAGCCAACAGCATAGGTCTTGTGGGACGTGGGCTCCCTGTTATTCCATGAACAGCAAATCTTTTAACCCGCTTTGGTGCAATGTGCAGATCAGCGGGTGGATAAAAAGTCTAGGGGTCTCTGCAGGGCCCTGGTCTTTCCCTCTACTCTGTGTGTGGCTACAAACTCTTTTGTGACCCAGTGTCTGTGGGTTGAACCTCCAGACCTTGTGGGTGGCTCACAGCAAACACACACTGGGCATCCCACATTGTCTGCTGTGAATGTGACTGTTTTTCCTAAAATGTCCCGTCTGTGGTATTTGATGAGGGCTGTGGTTTCTTGGTACATCAATGGAACATCACTTGGCTGCCACAAAAGTGGGAGGGCTCTTCCTAATTCCCTTCATCCCCTCCCCCTCCCCAGGCCTACTTTTCTTTCTCCTTTGACTGGGTTCTGCCTAATTCAGCACAGGGATCTAGAGATTCCCTTTGCCTTGCTTCCTCCTCCAATGCCAGCACATTTTTTTAAATTTGTGAAATTAGAGCCTGAATCTGAACAACTGCTTCCTCTCATTTCCAATCCCCCCTCTGGGTTACGATTTAAGTGAGAACAATAGTGTCCACCTGAAGACACTGGCACAGTGTCTGAGAAGATGCCACATACCCTGGGGGCACTCTGAGGACTGTCCAATGATACAGCCCTATCGGCCACATACTGGCAACACATTCAGGCCTTTTTCAGCATGGTGTTCATTTATATCTGTTTCTAGGCCAGGTTAATTTCTGTGTCATCCAAACCCGTGGGCTCTGATCCCACATGGGTTCTATCTTCCAGGCCCCCATTCTGGGAGGCACCTCTCCTTGGCCACATATTGAGCTCTGCCCTGAGTGGGGGGAGGGGGGGGAAGCACCTCTATAGTCATCGAGGCCAGAATCATTCCCATGGACAGAAGAGATAACTATTTCATGTTACTTTTATGGTTGTCTACAACTCCACAGATGATTCAATGGGCAGTGGAGAGATGCATGCATCGTTAAGTAGGCTAGAAGACCTTACCAGCAATGACCTGGGCATGAGAAGTGTCCCAAACAGTGGAACAGTGAAAAATGTGCTGTATTTGGGGGTCAAAAGACCTAGGTTCACATCCGGACTCTTTCGCTTAATACTTGTATGATCTTGGGCTAATTATTTAAACCTCTCTGAGGTTTATCTATAAGATGGGAGAGGGGATGGATAAAGTGGCCTTTGAGATTCATTCTAGCTCCTTATCTATGACCCTATGATTCTCTGACAAGCAGAATCAGAAAAGGAGAAGTGCCAGCCCTGTAATGAAATTGAGGGCAGCTCAAATATACTACATTGACCCCTCAAGATATTAAAAGAAGCTTAGGAAGGGCTGTAGGACAATGGGTGAGTCCTCTGTGGAAGTCTGATGGGAAGACAATGGAGAAAAATCCTATGGGATGAGAAGGTGCTGAGGAGGTTGCAATCTATATCAACAGAGGAAGTAGGCTCATTGAGGAGATCCCTGACAGGTCACTTAGACTGTTAAGTGAAGTAGGCCATTTATCATTGATTGCCTACTAGTCAGCTGGAATTTCTACTGATCCATGTCTCACATTTCCAAACATAGTTTTACTCAAGCTGAGTAGCAGAGGTGTGTAACCTAAGGCAGTAGAGCTCAGTACCCAGAATACAGTAGTTGCTTAATAAATGCTCACTGAAGAGCAAGCTTGGCCCCATAGAAGAGCCATAAGAAGACACCTTCTCCACTCCTTTGCAGAGGCTGGGGGAGAGAGAAGGGTGTGGACCGTTGAATATAATGTCAGATCTTAAAAATGTCTTGGGTCACTTTTGCTGAATTTTTTTCCCTGTTTCCTCTTTTTCATTTAAAAAAAGAAATTCTTTGGGAAGAGGGGGAGGAGCACAGGAGAATTTCTAGATAATATAAAAACAAAAGACAGTGCTAGGTGCAATGATGGGCTCTGCCTTGTAGTTCCTGCTGCTGGGGATACTGATGCTTAGTACAGCATGTCCAAATGGTCCCTGACTTCCCCGACTGTTCTCCAGTTCTTTATGTTGAACCAATTTCCTCCTGTGCCAATTTAGGCCCATTTTCTCCTTTCTAGTTCTCTGTAAAGATGGCGGACAAAAGTGTCAGAAAGGGAAGTGGAATCCATAACCAGCGCTTGGCTCCCTAATACACTGGGCCTATTCTCCTTCCTTCCTGCCTGAAACACTGGCCAGGAAGGAAACAGGTTCCCACACGGCCACATCCAACAGCACTTAAGACACAGTTTGGCAAATGGCGACCACCCTATTTTTAGGGTTGGGATGTGGATTTCCCAGACAAAGAGCAATAGTTGTTTTTCTCAGCTCCAGTCTGCCATACTTACAGCCTTTGGCGTCAGCTTCGTAGGGGACTGGATGGGAGAGGTCACTTTTCTCAGCTGGAGCGGATGGGTTCTATAGGGCACATATGTCTGCAGCTGCGGAAAGAGGCGAACCTCCAGGGGCGTCTTTGCAGGGCTGGTCCATGGAGGGCTGCTTGGAGGGCTAGTCTGGGGGAGTCGTTTGCTCTCTGAAGTGCTGAGAGATTTGAGGACTGAAGGCACAGGCGTGTGAAGAAACAAAGGCACTGTTTTTCTTTCTAAGGGACAAAGGGACAGACTGTGAAATAAAGGGCAGGGTTTCTCTTCCCAAATGTCATCCTTCAGTTGCCCATGACTCACTACAGTGTATGGTCAACATTGTTGGCTAGAGGTCATCCCACTCCTCTGAGAGCGCTGGCTCACCCCCACACCCCGCCCCCATCCCAGCCAGAAGGGGCACTTTCCTCCTACCTGGATTCTTGAAGGACTCCACTAAGATTTTGAAGTTCGCTTTATTTGCACTCAGGCCAGCAGTGACATCTTCAATCCTCCAAAGGTCCTTTTGTATCTGAGATCTCTCCTGAAGATGAAAGAAAAGGCTTGACTTTCCTCCATGAGCTCCGACTTTTCAATGCTAGTTAGGTCCTCACAGGCAAACCCAACTGGCACAGAAGATATAGCATTAGACCTGGAGTCAGGAAGACCCAAGTTCAAATCTGACCTCAGAAACTTTATTAGCTGTGTGACCCTGGGCAAGTTATTGATCCTTTATCAGACTCAGTTTCCTCATGTGTAAAAGGGAAGGGAATAAGCATTTATATAGTACCTACTATGTGTCAGGCACTGTGCTAAGCACTTTTTATAAGTACTATCTCATTTAGTCTTCACAACAACCCTGCAAGGTAGGTACTGTTACTATCCCTATTTTATAGTAGAGGAAACTAAGGGAAATAGAGGTTAAGTGACTTGTCCAGGATCACACAACTAGTAAATAAATGTCTGAGGCCAGATTTGAATTTAGGTCCTCTTGATTCTAGGCTCAAAGTTCTATCCATTGTGCCACCAGCGCCTCTGGTGATGGTAGATGGGTGTGTGTTTGTGTGTGTGTGTGTGTGTGCGCGCGCGTGCATGCATGTGGAGAGGCAGGGGGAGGGGGAGAGAGAAAGAAAGACACACACACACAGGGCTATGTATATAAATACGCGTGTACATCTTCCTGAACCCTGGGTTAGTGCAGACCATGGTCAAAGGGGACAAAAGTTTCTGGAGGAAAGCAGGTTATGAAGGGAAATGGTGACTTCATTGGTCAGTCACCTGAGGCAGAAAGAAGGATCGTCGATTTTGCCTCTGTAAAGTTTGTTTCAGCTGATTGACATCATTCTCCAGCTTCAGGTATTCATTCCAGGCATTTTCCATTTCCTGGTGGCAAAAGGAAATGTGGTCAGCTATTGTCAGGACACACCCTGCGCCTAACTCAACCTATGGGTTACATCTAGACCTGTTTCAAAGAAGGGAGGGGAACCTATTCTAGGCAGCTTCTGTTTTTATCAGATGAAAAGTCATTCAATAAAAATTTTTAAGCAATGACTAAGCACCAGACACTCTGCCAGGTACTAGGTAGACACAGATAAGTACATTACACAGTTATAGTACATTGAAGGGGGAGGGGAAAATATATACCTAGAAAAGTAAATACAAAATATAGATGAAGTCATTTCGAGGGGAGGAGGGCAGGAAGGAGCTGTGACCAACTGGATGGGCTTCATGTAGGGCGTAGCTCTTGAGCTGAGCTTTGAAGGAACTTAGAATTCTGTAGTAGATAGGAGAACGGAGGGCATTCCAGGCCCTGCAGACAAGAGATGGAGTGTGTGTGTGCGTGCGTGCGTGTGTGTGCATGCGTGCATGTGTGTGTGTGTATGTGAGTGTGTAGGAGAGGAATGTGGAACAAGCCTGGAAAGGTATAGCAGGCAGATCCTAGGATCTGGTTCAGAATTCCAAAGTCCCCTATTTTAGCTGCCACACCTCCCTTCTTGCCAAGCTCCCTAATTCCTCCCTAGAGCAGAGGTGGATGGGTGTGGAAAGATAAGAGAAGAATGCAGTTACATCTCATTTACATAACAAGGGAAAATAATACTCAAAGTGCTAACAAAATTAAGTTTTTAGTGTTTAATATATATATGTGTGTGTGTATACACACACACACACACACATAGAAAGAGAGTGAGAGAGCACTTAATTACTTTATAATACTTACTGTACTTTAAGTACTATATATAGTACTTGTATATACTCATATATACAGGATATATATAAGTACTTACACGTAAGTACTACATAGAATATATACAGTACTAAATATAGAACTTATATACTATAGTATATATAAGTACCTATACATACATTCATATATATACACACATATTTACATATAAGCACACTCCCCTAAAAGTACTAAATCCAAATACTTTAAAAAACCAGTTAGCTACCTCCCATCCTCCATCCCCACATCGCCTACCAAGTGGTCTCTGAGCAAAAATGCCCCCTCCATTAGCTATGAAAAAATCATCACAACTGCAGGCTCCTCCTTTAATGTTTCCCCTCAGGAAATTATGAGCTTCCCCTTCCTGAAAATTCCATCTCCTCAGCCATAATTAAAAAATGTTTGCACTAAGGGCTGGTACCACAAACCACACCCAGAGTAAGCAGCATCAAAGGTGCCCTGGGTTGTAAGGAAAGGGGTGAAATACCATCCTCTTGTTGAGAGACAGAGATCCTAGGAAACCAGCATGAGGATGCTGCTGGGAAAGCCGTCATAGAGTGGGGGGATGAGGGGGATGAGGGGGGAAGAGCTCATTCAGTACCAAAGAACCCTAAATGCTGTCAACCTCCTTTAAATTCAATGCCCCAGGACAAACCCCCAGTTTCCCTGCCTTAGTTATGGCTCTCTTACCCTCTGCCCTGGGATAGAATCTGCTCTTCATAACACCCAAGGCTTTGCCAAAGAGCTAGTTCAAAGAATTCACAGCACAATCATGGATGGTTGTGCCTCCACACTCATCCTAAGGTGGTGGTGGGGGAAGGAACATCAGAGGCATGCATGCTTCATAAAGGTAATAGATGATATCTCAACACCAAAAAGCATCCCCAAGTCTCCCCTGCCACACACACATCCTTAATGGATGCACAAACTCCAGTCTGTAGACCACACAGCCTGGGGCTCCCTTTCTTTTGGGCATTCCACAGTCCCCCATGGGTGCCACTGCAGTACAATGTCAGGCAAAGAAAAAAGGAAGACCAACCTCCCCCAGCGGGAGCGAGGTGCCATTAACCTTGCTGAATCTAGAGGACTCCCAACTAGTGGAGGGACAGTTCTCACCTTCTCATACATAGCTATGACCCCCACCACCCTCAAATATCAGAATCCTTTGTTAAAGGCAGAAAGGGCCTGAATTTAAAATCTCATTTTAAAAGACAGAGGAGAAATATTTGCATTCCCTGGTTCAGTGCCCTGCAGAGAGCATATACTTAATAAATATATATTCAAATGAATTCCTTGAGTTACTTTCACATGTAAAAATAGGTGCTGTACTGAAACACAAAATCCCCAGGTGTACCGTGTGCCCTGGGCCATCTAACCACCAACCACAGCTTTAAGTGTCCCATTGGTGGCTCTGGGACATCCTCAAGAAAAGGCCAAGGAATAGACATGGAAAAAGAGAATATGGTAAGAGGGCTGATGAGACAAAGAGATGAACAGAATTAGTGCCAGAAGCCCTAGACGCAGCTCCTCCAAAGCAGACACAGGGTAGGTCCCTGGGACTCTTGAATTCTAGAATGAAGACATCCAATTGATGTGCTATCAACACGCCTAGCAGAATTCTCCTGGTCCTCGTGACTTCTGAAAAGCAGTCCCCTTCCCAAATAACATGAAGTGTGAGCTGTCAAGGGGTAGATAGCCCCTGTCCTTTTCCCCTCAGTTTCTGCTCCCCCATATTCCCTCTACCCCATACATACTGTTGAAAGCTTGGATATCTCTGCTCGTATGTGAACGAGGTCCTCTTGCAGCAGCCTTTGTTGGTAAGAAATCTTTTCTGAATGCTGGGGCTGGTCTTTGTACTGTTCCATTTGTCTGTGCAAAACCTCCAGGACTGACTCCAGCTGGTCCTGCGCAAGGGGGAATCAGGTTATTACAGAGACTCAAGTCGTACATGTCCTCCAGGCTAACCTCTCACTCAATGCAAGGATCTCTTTACGGAACAGGCCCACAATCACGAGCACATCATGGACTCTGGCCAGCATGGGTGATTTCTACAGACCTCTTCTCAGAATAATGTTTGATGCCTACATTCACAACAGAAGGCAATGCTACATTTCAGTTACAGGTTAGTGAAAATAAAGATGTCATTTTTTTTCTCTTATCTGATTTCATAGACCTCAATCACCCTGGAATCTATCCAAAGACTCCAGTTTAGGAATTCTTGCTCTCCATCTCCTCTGACAGTGTTTAGCCAACCTCTGCATGAATGCCTCCAGAGATGGGGTGTCCTACTTCCGACATGGAAGAAACAAGATAACAGACTCACAGATTCATCCCTAATATTTTCTTCTAGAGGGCAGTAGTGATAGTAGTGGTACTAGTAGTTGTAGTAGTAGTAGTAGTAGTAGTAGTAGTAGTAGTAGTGGTGGTGATGATGATGATGAGAATAACTAGTATTTGTATATCATTTTAAGATTTGCAAAGCATTTTACATATGTTATCTCATTTGATACTCATAACAACTCTTTGAGGCAGGAGTTTTTATTATCCCCTTTTTGGCAAATGAGAAATTGAGATTGAGAGAAGGTAAAGAATTTGCAGGAGACTGGATTCAAACTCAGATCTCTGGATTCCAAGTTCCATGTTCTATCCCTAGGTGCCTCAAAAAAAAAAATCACCTGTCTTTTGACTAGAAACTATGAGTTACACAATAATTCCATGGATTTCTTCCTCCAATCTCTTACCAACTAGTAGGGGTGACCCCCTGCTCTCAAAGGGTCTGCCAGTGAAGCACAATCTCGGGGAGGTTCCACCACACTGGGACTCAAATGATCCACCAGCCTCAGTCTCCCCATGAGCAAGAAGTCCAGACAAGCTTAAGGTCATCTCCTTAGATAAGACTTCTAGCAGGCCCACAGGAAAACTCGAGAAGGTCACCCTCTAAATTCCCACAAATCACCCAATAAATCTCTCAGGAAGACCATCCCTTGTCACTTCTGGCAACACAGTTTAAAGAGACACTGCTCAGGTTTTTGTTTCAGGAAAAATGAGATAAAAACCACAGAATGCCCCCTTTCTTTTCTCTTACTGTTTAAAAAAAATAGGAATAGCTAGATAGATATAAAATATGGATATCTAATATATATAGATTACATATATATAAAATATATGATAAATATACACTTATATAGAAATACACACACACATATATATCTTAAAGTCATAATTACTTTGTTCTCCTTGAGGGCTCTTATTTTGTCTTCTAAGTCCTGCAGGACCCTGTCTTGTTCACACAGGATGCTTAATTTTACCTATAAAGAAAGATCAGATATGAAATGAAATAACTTAACAGCTGGTTTACGGTGCCCACTGTGCCATCAAGTCTGCCCTAATGCCTCATCCTGGCCCTGAGATGACCTTGGGCTTAGCTCTCAAAGGCTCAGTAGGACTTGACACACTGGAAAAGAGCTGAGTGGGAGCTGGTGATGACCATCCTGGGAGCACTAGGCTAGCTAAGTCTGGTTACCAGGGGACTAATTTTTATAGCTTCAGGAATTCCTAAAGAACTGTCTGTTAAGGTGTGAAGGGTTTGGTATTACACATCCTTGAAGGAATGAAACTTGCCCACTTTCAAGTTCCCCAGAACGCTTCAGACCTCACAATGACCTTTCCCAGTCTTCTACTCAACCTTGGCGAGTTGGGAAAAATGGAGGGAGGAGACAAGGGGAAAGGTGATCAGTGACTCACATCAATATCACTCTCAGCTACTTTCACAGGCTTCAGACTTCTGTCCTTGAGAGTGTCACGGGTCATCTACAAAGGAAACAATTTAAAGATGAGCTAGGAAATGAGGCTGGTGAAGGCCAAACTCCTGAGAGCAGGCACTCCATGTTTACCTCAGCAGTTTAGAGAGGGAAAATTCATTATCTGTGAAAATATCAGGAGATGGGTAGGAAGGGGAAAAGACATAGGGGAGAGAAACTGAGTGTTTCATGTGAAGGGGAGCCCAGCTCACCTCTGCAAAAAGAAGAAAAATCATGCCTGATCAAGATTGTATTAGTAGTTTCTGGTATCTTAAATAGAAGAAAAGGTACCACCATCTCAACTATTACACATAACCACATTACATGTTAATATTATATTATAATATGTACACATTATATAGGTATATATTATATTAATATAATATAGCATTATATTATATCTACATGTTACATATTAATATAAACTATTATATATAACACCTATTTACAAATGTAACCAAGTCAGTAGTATATAAAATCTGGTAAGACATGTTATGGAAACAATAGTTTAACCCTTCCCCCCCTTCCATGCAAAGTAGGATAATCTTTCCTTAAATGATATTGAGAGAGGCAGCTAGGTGATACATTTGGATAGAACACTGGCCCTGGAGTCAGGAGGACCTGAGTTCAAAGTCAGACACTTACTAGCTGTGTGACCTGGGCAAGTCACTTAACCCCAAGTGCTGCCAGAGGGAAAAAAAAAAAGATACTGAGACCATCTTCAAGTGTTGGCTGGCCAAGGAGACTAAAGGTCCAGGTGGTTGATATCATCCCCTGATTGTCTAAATACAAAGCCGCCATGAAAGCTCCAGAGCATTCTCTGATGCTTAGCTGGTGGGTCAGGATGGGAAACCCAGGCAAGGGAGCTTCCATCAGATGAATCAACCCAAAGTGTCCTGAGTGTTGATTCTTGTTGGACGGCCTTCTGCTATGGTGAAGTAAACCTCTTTTTGTTAAGAGATGATGAACTACAAGTACTTCATTTTGTTTTAATATTGAAGCTAAACAGAATCAGGCCCAGTCTAGGACATCTGGTATAGTCCTGCAGGATGGGAACACAATAGTGAGCTGAAGTGGAGCACAGGCAGCACAGGATTGAACATTTATTGTATTAAACTGCACATCATTGGATTACACTCATACTCACTTCAGTTTGTATTTTATCCCTACTATTAGAAGGAGAGCTCTTTGAGGGTAGGCAACTGTGTTGTTTTCCATATCTGTACCCCCACCCTTAGCACAATGTTTTCCATGTTTTCTGTAGGTGGCTAATAAATGTTTATTTAGGCAGTGTTATATAGTGCACAGTACCAGACCTGGGCTCAAATCTCTCCTCCCAACACATAATATCTGTGAGACCCTGGATAATTCAATTATGAAACTGTGGTAAGTTTCTTCATTTATAAAACATGTATAATGGTCATAATGATTAACAGTAATACTTTCATTATTTGTCTCATGGGTTTATGGGGAGGAAAGTGATTTAAAAACAAAATATTTGATAAACATGAGCTATTACTCTTATTACTAGTACTGGCCATAATACTAAGACTTCCCAACCCAGGAAAGGTGTCTGGGGCAGCACCAGAGAGATGACCTTTAAAGTATTCCAAAGATCAGTAAGAAATCTGAAGTCAACTCAGCCAACAGTAAGGTCTGCTCATCAAATTGACTGCCTACGAAGAATGACTTCCCTTAAGGACTAGACCAGGCACCAGAGAGTGGCATGTGATTAAGATGTCTGACAGCCTTCCCTACTGGCACTGGACATAGGGCTGATCACAGAAATGCGACTTGATTACTCTACATTCCGCTGGAAGAGAGGGTCCATCCATGTCTCAACAAGCAAGCACCAGATTCAACTTGCTTGAGGGTCAAAGGATTTAGATGACCTAAATCCCTCGTTTTTTACAGATGAAGAAAATGGGACCCAGAGAGAGGAAAAGGCTTGCCTTTTGGCTTTCACTTCATAGAATCACAGAATTTCAGAAGGTAACAACAATAATAACAATTGACAGTATCTATCTGTGTGTGTGTGTGTATGTGTGTGTGTACACTATACATTAGATAGTATTTGAGATACAAAAACCTCAGAAATCATTTTTCCCAGTATTGTGCTATAAGAAATGAAGAATGGGAGGATTTCAGAAAAAAGATTCTCACCACTCCTACGTATAGCTACCCAGTCTGTCCTGCAAACAGTGAATTCCCAAACTCTAGGCACTGTCCAAAGCATAACCAGGCAGACCATTTATGCAGCCACAGTCAGGTACAGGAAAAGTCCTCAGGGATGATGAAACTCCAGATTAAGCTTCTCCAAAGAGTGTACCTTGCAATGTGATGCTCTCCTGCATTTCACTCTGAAGGCCTTGCAGTGGACACCACCATTCAATGCCTTGCTGGAGAAGCCAGGTGGTGGACAGCAAAGCACTTGGGCATCCCAAGGGCCATGGCTCACTAGTTCCTCTATTGGTTTTAGTTTCAGAGGATCACAGAATTTCAGAAGTTACCAACAGAAATTACAATAGCAATTGACACAGATAGTATCCATCTCTCTCTATATTATATACATGTGTGTGTATACTATATTAGGTAGTATTTGAGACACAACATCCTCCAAAATAATTTATTCTGACACATGCCTAAACAGAAATCTCCTTTAAAACATCCCCAAATTATCATCCAGTTTGCACTTGAAGACTTTCAGAGATAGGAACTTACTATTTTCAGAAGCAGCCTATACTGCTCTGATGTCTTTTTCCATGCTAAACTAAGGATATCTTTTCTTATGCTAAGTTAAATATAACATCTGTACTGCTCACTAACACATTTTTTAATTAAAAGTTTATTATTATTTATGTTGCTTTATTTTTGCACACTGGGTCTCCCTATCTCTCCCAGGCTAGAAGTGCCCACTCATGGGCCCAATCCCAATAATCATCAACATAGAAGCTTTAGCCCATCTCATTTTTCCAACCCTCCTTAAAAGGCCTGGTCCTCCCCACCTCCCACCCCTACTTCTGGGGCCTCACCATACTGGTGCCAACCTTAGTACAGAATGGTGCTTTAGCCCTATTCTGGAATTGAAGCAATTCACCAGCCTCAACCTCCCCCAGAGGCAGGGATTACAGGCATGCCTATCACAGTGCCTAATATAGAGTAGGCACTTAACAAATGTTCACTGACTGATGCTGTCTCCCCAACATAACGCAAGTTCTTTGAGGGCAGGGACTGTTTCATTCTATTTTTTACGTCTCTAGTACCTGGCACAGGGCCTAGCATAGAGTGAACACAAAAAATGCTTGCTTATTCATAGATTATGTTGTCTCTTCTGACAGAACATAAGCTCCTTAAGAGAAAGGACTGTTTCATTCTTATTTTTATATCTCTAGGGTCTAGTATAGTGTCTGGCAACTGTCAATCAACAACAAATGCTAGCTGATTGATTAATGAAAAGCATGAATTCTATTGGTCAGGTGGAAGCATGTCACATAAGCAGTCTTCTTCCTCCAAAGCAAAGGAAATACTCGATGGCCTCATGGGCCAGGCAGAACTGACTATCCTAGGTGCAAGGTTTCAGCTGTGTTGTTTTTTTAAAATTTCCCTTGCATTGCACTAATAAAATACCGCATTGATAAATTGAACATTGCATTGATAAAAATGCAAGACAAGCATCTAAGGACTACAGGTATAAGAAGACAAGAAAACTGTCAAGAGGCCTTCTCCAAGTGATGGGCTAGAAGTAGTGGAAAGGTTTTCTCTCCCCAACCTCCTCAAGGGGAATGCTAGGAAAATGTACCTGGGAATAAGAAAAATTAGCCTCTCTGGTCTGCTACAGCTGGAAAGAAAAGCAACAAATGCTACAGACCCCACCAAACAAAAGGATTTGGCATTTCAGAGATCAGCTGTTTGGGCTCCATGAAATATAGTTACTGAAGGCTTCAGTAGGTTGTCTACCAATAACTGAGACTTTCTGCCTCACTCTGAGGTCATTAGCACCATGGACAGGTGACATGCATTGAAGGTTAAATGGATGTGTCCATGGCCTCTTTGAGTGCTTCCAGTCTAACTGGAATCTACCCGGTATGATGGAAAACTACTCCCATGTTACCTTTTGGAATCATTCTCAGTTTCATGAATATTTTAATAAAGCATACAATGAGAAGATTATCAATGACACCATATTTTGAGAAACTCTTTGCTAATTAAAAAAACCAAGCTCATCTTTTTTATTAATCATGTTATTAATATGATTATTTTGTTACAAATATGAAAAACATGAAAGATTTTTGTCAGTAAATAGATATGTATGTAGTTTTATCTTTATTGTCTGTTTAAGGTTTGTTACAAAAACTGTAATCAATTCTTAATTTTATTTGAATTAATTACATACTAAGGAAATTGCATAGATTATCTCACGGAAAAGGGTGAGATTTTTTTTTTTTTTAAGGCAGAGGGTGTTGTTTAAAGTTCAGAAACCACAATGTAAGAGATTAGTGCTATTACTATAATTATTATCTAGCAGTAAATAATTGCTGACTCCCTGACCTCCCTCCCCTTCAGAAAAGATAAAGGGTAAAGCAGAGCAGTGGATGATTACTAGGAGGTGAGTGGCAGAGAAGAGGCAAGCAATGATCACAAGTTATATTAGGATACAAGTTATGTCAATAATTGTGACCTAAACAATAGAAAGATATTAGGGAAATGAGGTGGAAAACATCCCATTCCTACTAGGGATGTCTATATTATTCCCACTGACATTCCATTAATGGCCAATATTAACCACACGAGCACTGAACAGAAAAAATGGTAATACTTTAACAAATTTGTATCTGAGAGGTGGGGACACTTAGGAAAATTCTCCACAAACTACAGTGATTACCTGAGATTACTTCCCATTTATTCTGTATATATCTTGTTTCTACATGGCTGTTTGCATATTGTATATCCTTTAGATTGTAAGCTTCTTGAAGACAGAGACTATTTTCTGCTTTTATTGTATCATCAATACTTAGTATAGTGCACCTAGCACATAGAAGATTCTTAATAAATTCTTGTTAACTTGATCCCAGGGCATTATAGTCATATAGCACTAAATTTTATTACTAAAGAATTGGGCAACCACATGGCAAAGGGCCTTGAGATCATGTCCTTATGAGGAATGATTGAAGGAAGTGGGAATAGTTAACCTGGAGAAGAGAAGACTTGAAGGGTTGGGGGTGGGGAAGGAAGATATGAAAACTGTCTTCAGGAATTAGAAGGGCTATTGTGGGGAAAACAGATTAGACATGTTTTGTTTGGCCTCAGAAGGCAAAACTAAAAGAAAAGGCAATTGCAGAGGAACCAATTTAGGCTCAATGTAACAAAAATCTTTCTCATAGTTGGGCTTCCAAGAATGGAACAGTTTTTCTTAAAAGATTTTTCAACAGAGTTTAGAACAGAGGTGTCAAACTCATGGTCCACAGGCCAAGCTCCCAGTGAGGCTCAAACCTTATTAAAATGTAACTGGGAGATGTTTAACAAAATAAATAAAAATACAATGCAACACAGATAATGTTAATTTGTGTTTTTCTAAATCAATACACTGCCTCCCTTTCTATTTGAGTTTGACCCCATTGGTCTAGAGGAATATTTATTGAGGGTGTTATAGAATATTGGCCTCGAAGGTTTGAGAGTTGGCCCTTGGACTGTCTCCTGGGAACCACCTTGGAAGCCCAGAACCAAGCCTGATGTCACTTCCTTCACTAACTCCAACCCTTTTATGTGATGTCTTCTCCCATTAAATTATAAGCTCCCTGAGGGCTTCCTTTTTTTTTTTGCTTGTGTTTGTATTCCCAGTACTTAACAATGCCTGACATATAGCAAGACCTTAATAAATACTTTACATGTTTTCTGCGAGGGGTAAATGCCACCTTTCTACAACAACTATTCCAGACAACCAAGATTCCTCATCTCACCTTCCTCTCTCCATCTCCAGCCCTGCCTCCCCCAGACCCCTTTATCTCTTATAGCACATTTTCTGTGCCACATATTATAGGACTAGATTATATACTGTCTCATGGTCTCTCTTTTAAGTTTTGTTTTTACAAACAAATGGTAAGTCCCCTAGGATATTGTCTTGTAACTCTCATAACCCTGAAGACTGTGCCAGGCACATAGCAGGCACTCAGTAAAACACTGGTTGGTTACAGGGAACCTAGGGTTCAAAGCTCCATACCCACAGATCCAGAGATTCATTGAAAGCCTTGGACAAAGTCGGGTTAGCCTCCTCAGAGCATTTGCTGGACCACATTTCTTGTTACACAAATTCCTGGAATACGTGCATGGAGAAGGGTGAGAGTGGTAGCGGTGGCGGCGGCGGTGTGTGTGTGTGTGTGTGTGTGTGTGTGTGTGTGTGTGTGTGTGTGTGAGAGTGTGTGTAAGTACTCTCTGGCCCCTCAACCTCTACGCTCACATATGTTAATAATTAGCAAGTTCTTCCTCCTTAGAGCTATTGCACATCTCAGGCACCATGAGCAGTGCTTTGCACGATGACAGCCTTGAGACTGGGCTGTTGTGACAGATAGCAGGCTTCTTTCTGAGCAAGCTCCCCTCCCCTAGCATGGAATGCTCCCAGCACTGATTTAATCCTATCTCAGTGCTACGTAGATCTATTTAAAATCAAATACAATAAAGGTAAGAGAGTATCACCAGGGAGGAGACCAGAATCTATTTACCTGAGAGAAGGGAGACCCTGGGAAAGTCTCAAAGCCATTCAGGTCCACCTATCAACCAGTCAGAGGTCATGCCTGTCAGCCTTCCTGAGCTGCCCCAACACTTAAAGTCACTCGGGGTCTGAGGATAATTGGAAATATTGGACACTAATAATTGGACACTACTAAACAAAAAGGCTAATGTTGGACAACACATATGCAAAAATAAAACCCCCATTAATCCCAGACTTTGAAAAAATTCCAGCTATGTGGTCACCAGGGAAGTTCCACAATCAGTCCTTATCCAAGGGATCCACAGCTAAAATGACTAGAACTTATGGAGAGGGAAGTGGTCCACTTCTTGTGGTTGTAATCAAGTAAAAGGAGATGTTTTTGGCAGAGCGGGCAGAAGCTCAGCCTTAATTATCAGAAAGACCTGGGTTTCAGGTCTGCCTCCAACACATTTTGGCTCTGTGACATAGGCTTAACCTCTCAGTGCCCCTACACAACTCTCTGTTACTGAGAGTTACAGATGGGTTGCTGATCAGCATTGGATGAAAGGCATTTCCATATTGGAAGTTCCCGTTCCAAAGCAATCACAGGCCCAGACCAATAAACTCCCACTTTCTGAATCATAAACAGACTTCTCCATAGGCAAAATAACAAGAACTCTACCTTTTCTTAAATAAGTTCTGTTAAATAGGAAGTGAAAAGATTGTTAGTCCCATTTTACAGATGAGCAAGCTAAGCCTTAGAGATGTTAAGTGACTGGCTCACAGTTTGTAAGGGTAAGAGGCACATCACTCCATTTTTTATTTTTACTCTCCCACGTTGCTTCCAAATATAAACGGGAGATAAATCCATTCATTCTTCTCTTAGCCTTCAAAGTCTACTGGGGCTGGCAGCCTGTAGGCTGGGAAGACACAGCTGGGGAAGACAAGGAGAGTGAGTGAAGTAGGTTCTAAGTCTGCTCACCTTTAGGTCTAGATACTCCAGGTCTTTCTTCAGCTGCAGGTAGGTGTCGTCAGCCTTCAAGGAAGCACAGAGAAAAAAATAAGTCATACACCAAGGGTTTGCTCACATCCTCTACCAAGCAGCAACAGCGGCGGCAGCAGCAGCAACAGTAACAGTAACAGGTCAAGGCTTCTTGGATGATTCGGCCACATTGCACATTTTAATGAAGAAACGAGAGAGATCCATCACAACAGAAGTAGCACATGTCTCTCCTGCAGCAAAGCGCTAGAGACATGATCCAATGGGAGATGTCCATGAGGGACCGGGGGGACTGCCACATCTCCTTTACCCATTCTCAAATGACAGAGGGATGTGTTGCTGACACCCAGAAGGAGCTCACCCAACAACCCTGTGAAGCCAAAACTCTATAGCCGTCAATTACCCCAGGACAGAACTGGAGGGCTGTCACAGAGAGAAGAGTTGACCTGGCTCGTCATTTGACAAAAGCTAGCAATGAACTTGGGACATAAACAGATAGTGTGATGGACTTGGATTCAGCACGATTGGGTTTCAGATTCCTCTTCTGACCCTAGCTATATAACCATAGGGAAGTCATTGACTTGACTTCTATGAGCCTCAGTTTCCCCATCTGTAAAACGGGCCAAATAATAGCACTAGGGTAATGGTGAGGCTCAAATGACACCTCTGACCTGCCTTGCCTCCCTCCCCTTTCTTCAAAGCTCACCCTCTGTAGATAAACAGAATTCTCCACGTCTTTCCCTTGGTGTGGCTCTGTCACAGCTTCTCTAGTGGCAGCAATACCATTTGAACCTTCACTCCCCAGAGAGACTAGACGTCTTGGAAGACAGATTAGTGGATCCTGGATTGCCTTGCTTTCATTACCCTACCTCAACTACAGGTCCTGATCTGAACCCTACCCCATGAGTACCCCTCCATCTACTTCTCTTATGTCCCCTTGTTCCCCTCCTCCACCCAGTCCGTGGATCTGAATTCATGCCTACAGACCTCTGGGCTTCTTCCAATCATACAGGTTTGCAACCCAAGAGTCATCCATAATTCTTCATTCTTATACATCCCCCATATTCAATCTATTACCAAGGCTTGACAATTCCACTTTCTCCACATCTCTATCTGTCCCCTTCTCTCCATTTACACTACAAACAACTTAGTCTGGGTCCTTAGCACCTCTCTCCTGGGCTATTGCAATAGTTCTTAATTGATCTCCTTGTATCCAGTCCTTTACTCTTTTAGAGAGTTACCAAACTGATAATCCTATAGCACAGGCCTGACCCTGTTATTCCCCTGACTGAATTTCAGTGGCTTCCCATTGCTTCTAGGATAAAATACAAACTTCTCACCCTGGCATTTAAAGCCTTTCATAATCTAGTTCCAATCTATTTTTCCAGACTGATCAGACATTACTCCCTCTAGAGCACTCTGTGCTCCAGACAAAACAGCGTATTCACCATTCCCAGTACAAAACATTCCATTTACTACTACCTTGGTGCTGCTGCACAGGCTTTCTCTCCTCAACTCTATCTTTTGAACCTTCTGGCTCTCTTCAAGGTTTAGCTCAAGCAACTCCCTCCAACAACTTTTTACTGATTCCCCCAGTTGTTATCACCAAACCCAAATAAGCACAATATCGTAGAAATATTAATGAATATGGAGTTAGAAGATCTGGGTTTAAATCCTACCTCTGACACTTAACAATCTATGTGACCTTGGATAAATCATTTAATCTAGGTTACATGAGCCTCAGTTTTCTCATCTGTAAAACGAAGGGGTTGGGCTAGATGACCTCTGAGACCCCTAACAACTCCAGACCTGTGATCCTAAGATCTCCTATTTATTTATCTGGGATTATATATTCCTCCAAGTAGACTGTAAGCTCTTAAGAGTGGGGACTCCCTCTCTTTTGGTCTGTCTCTCTACCCCTACCTTCATTTTCTTTCTCCCACCCTGCCCCCGAGGTAGATGGATGGATAGATTTCACTTTTTTATATATATATTCTTACTTGGTGCCTAGCATATCATTAAGACACTTAACAGATGCTAGAGACAGCTCAGTGGATATAGCACTGGAACTACATCAAGAATACATAAGTTCAAATTCAGCTTGGACAAGTCACTCTTGGTTTCCTCATCTGTAAAACAGGGATAATTATAGTACCTACCTCCCAAGATTATTATAAGGACCAAATGAGGTAATATTTGTAAAGAGCTTTGAAAACCTTAAAATGTTATATAAACACTAATTTCTCTTCTTCTTCTACTATTGCTACTGTTACTGCTACTACTACTATTGCACTACCACCCCTATCACTCCCACTAATTGAAATGTCAGGGTCGGGGTATTTGGGTGGGTGGGTGGGGGTCCACACCTGCGATTTCATTGTTGTCAAGAGCTCTCAATGTGGAAATTTCACAGGTGCAGATGGAAAACTCATCTGTAACTTAGAGTCTCAGGTAGCTACTAGGGGGCAGAAAAAGGTTAAATGCCTTGCCCCTGATCACACAGCCAGTAGGAGTCAGATTCAGGATTCGAGCCATGGCTTGTCCTGACTCTAAGGACAACCCTCTATCTGCTACAGCATTATGGCAGTTACTATGCACAAACTTTTGGGTTGAGGCATAATAGAAATTGACCTACTTGATGGTTTGGGCATATTCTTATCCGAAGTGCAGAAGGTGGGCTAGCTGCCCACAGAGGCCCATGTCCAGGCCCAGGCTTCTATTCTTCCAAAGCTTCAAGAAGCCCCTTATCCAATGCCCATTCTGCTGCTCAGCATGGAGCCTAGGCTATGGGTCAATAGCTAGACCCAGGAAATCTTCCCCCCCCCCAGACTTATCTGCTGGTGCCTCAAATAAAACCCAGTGGCATCTGCAAAAGTCCGCCTCACTCACTGATAGAATTATCAGGAACAGGAAGAACTGTCATCCTCTGAATTGAAGAAAAGGTACTTTGATTTCTGATAACTAGTGAAAATAGGCATCTCCCAGCAGCCGCAGCAAGGGCGGGTAAGGACATGAGAGAACTTAATAGGAATCTCAGCATTTACATTCTCTGCGGCCAGAGACAACGACTGGGTGAGCAGAGGACAGCTGAGGAGGAACCCACGGGCAAACCGGAGCTATGTTAACTGTCCTCGTGGTGAGCAAAACCCTCCTAAAACACATGAGGACTTGGGGGAAAGCTCAGAAGCTGTCTGGGACCACAGATCAAGGGCACAAAGAAGGAGGAGAGAAAATGCTAAGATGGCTTTTGGAGGCCCCTGTGTCCCCATCCCACGGAACAAGAGGGACATACTCAGTGGCTAATGAATCTCTGTCCTATTCAGAGCTTCAGATACTAAGTGGCAACATCCAGCCTCCCTTAGATGCCTTTCCTGTCCCTACCCCTTGTCATCAGCTCTGTACCTAGCTACTGTCTCCTTCCCAGAAACAGGATTCTCCATTGCTCAGCTGAAGGGTTGACCTTTCGGTAAGGGATGGCTGTTTTGTTCCACAAAAAAGACAAAGAGGCAGGAGACAAAGGGGGCATTATTCTCTGGCTGACTTAAAAAAAAAAACCAAACACCCAAATTTAGCTCTTATTTAAAAATTTACATCCATTCCCCTGCACCGTGTTTCACTAGTTATCTCCAAAAAGCATTTGATTCTTAAGATGAGGCAGTTAAATGGCCTTCATCCTCATCACATTATTTCTGTGCCTTGTAAACCTGTACAGATGGGAGGAGGGGGCTAGCCATCAGGAGACCCAGCTCCGTCATTACTCACTGTGTAACCCTAAGCCAATGATTTCCTTCCCTTCTCTGGTCCTTGGGTACCTTAGTGGCCCAAACCAGACCCTTGCCACCTCAAACTTTTTATAATTCTTTGTGTGGTTCTGTGAGATGATTTCCCATTCAGATCACACAGACAGAACATGGGCTCTGAAGTCAGAGGATCTGAGTTCAGATCCTTGCATTACCTATGTGACCTTGGGAAAATGACTTAAACTCCTTGGGCTTCAGTGTCCTCATCTACAAAATGGAGGGGTTGGAATATATGTATATGCCCCTGAAGGTCCTTCCAGCTCTACAGGTCTGAGCCTATGACCTTTAGAGTTGGGAAATACTTTAAAGAGCATCTAGTCCAATCTGAGAATTCAGAGAATGACAACAGCCTCTCACAACTGATTCCTTTCCTGCCTGGGCATAGGCTGATGAGACACGTGCTAAAGCCACTTGAGGTGCCATGGGAGGGGAAACAGGCCACCCCTGACTAGCCAAGCCCAGGGACTATTAGTCTGTGTGGCACCAGTGCCTCATAATCTACTTAGCCGGGCTTTCTACGAAAGGCACTGGGACATTGGTGGCAACAGCAGCCCTCAGGAGCTCGAGGATGTCCCCGCATTGACAAGGCACCAGGATGCCAGCCATTCCATCCAGCTCGGAGAAGCAGCACCCAGCTCCCTTAGCCCCACATGCAGCCCCCTTCCCCCGTGGCTGGAGATTTGCCAGGACCACTGGGAAGCAGGGCAGTAACAACAAGGACAGCCAGCACTCCGTGACACTGACGGGAGATGGAGGAAAGGGCAGTGAGTGAGTGGACAAGCCAGAAAGCAGAGCAGATCGAGACGGCTGGCAGAAGAGGGCATGGGCTGCAAGCATGGCACTTCCCAGCTCCCGGGTAGATCCCCACAAGATATGTACAGAACAGGTGGGGCCCATCAGCAGCTGACCTGGTAGGTGGGAATTGTTGGCTCATGTTGCAGTAATTGGGCGATTGTGTAATTTCGCACACTAGCCAACTTAGCCTGATGTCTCCTTAATCGAATGAGAAGTAATGTTAACTCTTCAGGCTGCAGGTACGTAGACACATTGTAAAGAGGAAATTAGCCATCTGCATGCAGTGAGGATCACCGTAATCACGCTCTCCACCGCGGTGCTAGAGAAGCATGGCACTGGACGCCACTAAGCAATTATTCCATTAATTCTACCTTTTAGCTCAGATGAGTGCAAGAGCAGATAAAGAGGCCGCCTGAAGCCCAACGTGAGGGTCAAAACCACCAGACTGTGCACACAGCCAGAGAGTTCACAGTTAATGGCAAATTATAAGAGTTAGAGTCAAAGGAAGAAAAGCTTGTGGCCAAAAAATACCACAAGCTCTTAAGAATCTGTCCTGGGAGAGAATTCGGTACAATTTTTCAATTCTCCCTGCTCTCACCCCACCAACAACATAGCTTCCCACCAGCATCCCCCACTCCCCAACCAACTCAGCCCCACCCATGGCTACTCACCGACTTTCCATGTAAACTGGGAGCACTAACAGTGTGTGTCATATACCCCATGGATGGCATGGAGCGCCTGTCCACATGAGAGGAGTTCTGTAGGAGGGAAGATGGGGGAATCACACATAGAGCAACCCTAGCCATAGGAAAAATGGAATGTAATGTAAAAGTGTCCTCTGGGCAGGGGCAAAACAAAGCAGCATGAGATTAGGAGTTGGGAGATATGCGTTCCCAAGAGGAAAAACTTAGGGCTGGAAGGGATCATTCAGTCCAACCCCTTCATTTTATGATGAGGAAAGTAAGGATCAGAGACATTTAAAAACTTTACCAGAGTCATCCAGCATGTCAAGGTCATAGGGAAGATTTGAACCCCAGACTTTCTAGCTCCAAGCCCAGCACTCCACTATACCACAATTCCTGTTAGCTTGCCATCTACCCTTGGAAAATCAACTTCCCCATCTTTGGGACTCAGTTTCTTCATCTACAAAATGAATATAATTCTAATAATAGCTACTTTACAGCACTGCTGTGATGAGAAAATGAAATAGTAGACATGATAGCCCTCTGGAAGGACAAGAGAGCTACCCACCTCTATGACAGGATCATGATTAATACTAATCACAAGCCTCTACAAAAAAGTAGCTATTTTTATCCACCTGTGCTATGGTCCACAGAACATTAAATAACAGTAGAATAGCAACTTGTCCCAGGACCATTTCTAGTGGAACTTCATCAAAAAAAGGACGAGATAACCACAAAAACAACAATGATGTTCACATAAAGCACCTGCTCTGACCTTCTCCAAAAATGCTTGCATTTCATTGGTATCACCTTCACAACCTCTGTCCTCAGGGAGGCATTTTTGGAGGTCAGAGCAGGTACTTTGTGCATGTCTATGGACCATCCCTGGTTTATTGAGTTGGAAAAATTTCAACATAGGCCTGCAGGCAGACCAGACGTCTGTTTTCTGAAGACCAGCCTGGTTCAGTTCATAGAAGGTCTTCACCAAGTGGGTTGAAGGGAGATAAAAAAAATTCAACCAGAGAATTCATTTAATAAGTCATGGAGGTGCTGCAATCTACATTGGTGAAGGAAGTAATTATACCAATGAAATAGCAGATCTTTGAAGCATGTTGCTAATATTACTACTAATACCTATGGAAATGAAGGTTGAAAACTAAAAATAAGTAAGTAAACTTATTTTAAAAATGTGAGACCTATCATAAAAAAAAAGTGTGCATACAAAAAAAAAGACAAAAACCAAAAAATATTACGACTAACAATAGCTCTCCTTTACATGGCATTTTAAGACGTGCAAAGTGCTTTATTCAGATTATCTCCTTTCAACCTCTCACAGCAGCCCTGGAAGGTAGGTGCTAGTTATCACAATTTTCTAGAATAGGAAATGCAGATGGATTAAGTGACTTGCCCATGCCAATAAGCATCTGATGCAGAATTCAAACTGTGATTTTTCTGACTCCAGATCCCACAATCCAATGCCTCCATCACACTGCCTATCTCTCTTAAGAATTTCCCTAGTTGCCTTGTATTGAATATCTCCAATTTATCCTGTCTATAGTTGTTTGCATGCTGTCTCTCCAATTAGACTCTCCAGCATCTTGACAGCAGGGGCTATCTTTTGCCTTTATTTTTATCCCCAAAGTTTAGCACCCAGTAGGCACTTAAATGCAACTGACTGAGTGAAATCACACATGATTTCATTTCATCCTCACAACAAGCCCATGAAATAGGCAGAAACTATCATTAAATCAATCCGTTCATTAAAAGCCTATTGTGTGCCAGGCAGTGTGCTAGACGCTAGAGATAAAAAACTCCAAAACGGTCCTTGTCCTCAAAAAGCTTACTTTCTACAAGAGGAGACAACTTATACAATATGTGTCATACAAAAAAATACAAACAAAACAAATACAAATCATCCCCATTTTATAGATAATGAAACTGGGACTCAGAGAAGTTATTAACTTGTTCGAGGCTAAGTAACCACAATACTATGATACAGATCCTCTCTTTTTTCAATAGCTCAAATCCTTGGCACATAGGGGCCAATACTTTCAAGTTCCAGTCTACCCTCAGCAAGAGGAATGCATAGATCGAAAGGGGGAGGAGAGCGTAGAATGGGGGCAGGGGATTCAATGCTGGAGGCTGTGCAGAGATTTCCCTGCTCTCACCTTAAGAGTGTGGCCCCGAACCTTCCTGGGAGACCCCCCCAGGGAAATGTCCACACTCCGCCTCTGCTCCAGTGGTTTCACAGTGACTCGCTCAGCAGGCGTGTGTGGCCTCCGTGTCGGAAAGAGCCGGGGTGGGCCTAGGGGAGGGATGTCTGATGGAGATGGTGGCACAGAGATAGATCGAGGCACCTCCAGCATGCTCTTGCTCCGGCCCTGGTCAGCAAACTCCGGGGACCCGGCGTAGATGGGGGCCGTGGGGTTCCCGTGCTTGAACTGCTGCCTCTGTTGCCATTCATAGAGCTGCCAGACGGTGCCGTCCCGGTGCGCCCGGCGCTCCTCATCGGACATCTTCAGATGGCTGGCTCGGTCCTGGGCATATTTGTAATCACTGGGTAAGTTGCGGAGTGGAGGTGGGGAACTGCCTGAGGAATGGCGGGTGTTCTTGGGCAGGGTCTGGAAGTTCTCTGAGAAGGACAGGGACTGGCCAGGACCCTGCTGGAGGAATCGTATCTGGTCTGAGACAAGGCTGAAGAGAAGAGAGAAGGGGCTTGTCAGTCAACTCAATCACAGCTGTCAGTCAGCAGGCTTGGAGGAAAACAGATAGAAATAGCCATAGAAAAGCATGTCCACCAGTGTTGTTTCATCTTTATACAGTCTTGCATGTTAAGAATTCAGTCCTGCAGATCGGAATTTTAGTAACAATTAAAACCCTAAACCCTGGAAATCTATTCTACCCTACAGGAAAATGGGGAGGGAGGGGATAGGACAGAGGGGGATGATAGAAGGGAGGGCAGTTTGGGAGGGGGTAATCAGAAGCAAACACTTCTGAGGAGGGACAGAGTCAAAAGAAACAACAGAATAAACAGTGGGTGGGGGCAGGATGGAATGAAAGAAAATATAGTTAGTCTTTCACAATATGATTATTATGGAAGTGTTTTGCATGACTACACATGTATAACCTATATCAAACTGCTTGCCTTCTCAATGAGGGTGGGTGGGGAGGAAGGAAGGAAGAATTTGGAACTCAAAGTTTTAAAAATTAATGTTAAAAATTGTTTTTACACACAACTGGGAAATAAGATCTATAGGCAAAGGGGTATAAGAATCTATCCTGACCTATAGGAAAATAGAAGGAAAGGGGATAAGAGAAGGGGGGGGTGTGATAGAAGGGAGGGTAAATTGGGGGAAGGGGTATTCGGAATGCAAGCTGTCTTGGGGTGGGGGGAGGGGAGAGATGGGGAGAAAATTTGGAACTCAAAATCTTGTGGAAGTGAATGTTGAAAACTAAAAATTAATTAATTAACTAACTAAGAAAAAACCCCTAAACCCCTGGCCATTTCTTTAACCTTTTACCTCTTTGGAGGCAACTCCAAAATCTCTTTCTCCGATTCCATGAAATAAACATTTATTAAACATCTACTATGGGCAAAATCTCTCTCTTCAATTCCATAAAAGGAACATTTTTTAAACTTTACTATGGGCAAACTCTCTCTAATTCCATATGATAAACATTTATTAAACATTTACTTTGGGCAAAATTTCTCTCTCCAATTCCATAAAATACACATTTAATAAGCACCTGCTATGGGCAAAAATCTCTTTCTCTCCAATCACAAAATAAACATTTATTAAGCATCTACTATAGGCAAGGTACCAATAAAAAAATGGCAAATTCCCGTGTGTGTGTGTGTGTGTGTGTGTGTGTGTGTGTGTACACACACACATATACATATACACACACACAAGCATGATACAAGGTGAAATGTGAAATGAGCAAAAAAGAAAAAAGAATCATCATTATTCTCAATAAGAAGGTTTGAGAAAGGAGAGATCACTTCAATAGGTGGTGAAGGAGGAATTTGAAATAACTTCATGAAGTCTGGAGATAATGGAGATGGGCCTTCAAGGCTGAGAGGAGGAGGGAATGTGACTGAAGAATGGAATGATCCCCAGAGGAGGGAGAGGGCAGGATGAGATCACGGAGGGATGAAGAGTCCAGTTTGGCTTGAACACTACTATGGAAAGAGAAGCAATGTGAAATAAGGATGGCGTCATCTTCTTACTCCAAGCTCTCTCTTACAGGGATTCTACAGGTGCTTGTTCTACATCTTCACCTGCCTGCTGAGTACATCCATTTAGACATCCTCCCCGTCCCCTGCCACTAGCTTATGCTCAATCATTAAAACTGAACTCATCTCCCCCAACCTCATCTACTCTTCTTCCTTATCTCGATTAATGGTGCCACCATTCTGCCACTTACTGACACCTCAGAGTTAGCTCTGACTCCTTCTCCCTCATCCCTAGCCTCCAGTGAGTTACCTGGTACTCTTGGGCTCCGTGTGGGATGGTGGACAATGCCTTGACTTGTAGTTAAAATATTTAAGGTTCTCGTTTTGGTTCTAATGGTAGTCATTTAATCCCTCTGGGCCTCAATTTTTTCACCCGTTAAATGGGTATAATAATCCTTGTACTCTACTTACCTCAAAATACTGCTATGAAGAAAGTGCCTCTTTTTGTATCCCCAGTGCTTAGTACAGTGCCTGGCACATAGTAGGTGCTTAATAAGTATGTATTGAATTTTAAGTGTTCTATAAAGAACATAAAATTAAATAAATTTAAGCATGAAATGATAAACCACTTTTATTGTTTCTTTCAAATTCATACTTTCCTTTTCTCTCCTACTGCCACTATCCTAATTCAAGTCCTAATCAACTCTCACTTGGATTACTGTAATAGTCTCCTAATTGACCTCCCTATTTCTAGTCTCTCTTCATCTCTCATCTAGACCACTAGAGTAATCTTCCTCAATTATGGCTTTCCTGACATCACTCTGTTGTTCAAAACCCCAAAGTGGCTCCCCACTGCCTAGACAATAAAGAATGGGGGGAAGTGGAAAGGCTAGCCTGGAACGCTACAGTCTCTGAGACCTCTCCCCTCTCTCTCTCTTCCTCTCTCAAGCTTGCTTTTCTCTATTCCCCTTAAATGTGCCATCCACTTTATCCAAGCCCATTACCTCACTGCTTTATGTATGCTTGCTCCTCCCATCTTGCCCCACCAAAACATCATCCCTTCTCTATTCTTCATAAAATTCCACACACTCTTCAAGACCTAGATAGGTCTTATTCTAGGAAGCCTCCTTTGCTAGTCTTATTCTTCATTCTGATCTCTGCCCTAATACTTGGCACCTGCAATAAAAAAGTCTTCTTGAACCACCTGGCCTCCCAGCTCAACCTCCTAAATTCTCATGACCTCCATCTTTATTCCACCTCAGTCATACAGAGGGATGCTCACAGACTTGATCCAGCCATTGCCCAAAGCCAATCTACCTCCATGAATAAGAATCCTGAAATTCCTCTCTGACCACTACCTGCTACCTTGCAATCTCTCCCTCTGCCTCATCCTTCCTAAAACTTTCTTCTTTATTCTCACTATGTCCACTAGTCTCTCTGTTTCTCTGTGTTCTCCCAGTCCATCATCCCCTACTGTCTTTCCACTTCCATCTCTTCACAGGTCTGATCTCATATTGACCAGTTCAAACAACACATTACTGGTTACCCTTGGGTCCCTTGCCCTCCCTAGCTCACTACTGGCAGTTTCATCTTATCAAACCCCAATCTTTGGTCTCCCCCACCATCGGCCTTCTCTATTCCTACCCTAAAGCTAAAGAAGGCCATGCAACCACGAAGACTGGGTTCGTGACAAATTTGTTACCAATCTCAAATGGACCCTTATTGGTCCACAGCAATCCTTTTATTCTTTCCTAACTGATTTTCTCCTTCTCCTTGCTAACCTGTCCACTTGTATTCCTGATCTCATACCATCTCATCTTTTCCAAGAGTTTCCCTCTTGATCATTCTTATTCTCTATCTCTCTCTTATCTTCTATCTCTTTTTACCCACTGGTTCCCTTCTCCCTACCCACAAACATCCCACATCTTTGAAAAACCTTCACTTAACTCTGCCATTTCTTCAAGCAATTTGTCTGTATCTCTTTTCCCTTTCATAGCTAAACAAAGAAAGAGTTGTCTACACTAATTTTCTCAACTCCTACATTCTTTTCAAACCCTTGAAATCTGACTTTTTACTTCATCACTTGAATGAAACTGTTTTATCCAAGGCAATGTGGACGATGAACAGAGGTGAAAAGAAGAAAGGCTGAGGAATTGTCAATGAAAGGGGGAAAACTTCTTGGAACCTTGGAGCCTATCTGCAAGGCAGCGTTACAGGACATCCAAGACACCAAATTGTACATCAGTCCAGCTCAGAAATGGCATCTATCGTACCGACTCTTACCACTGGTAAAACCTCAAACCTAGGGCTAAAACAATAGTGCTTAGAATTGAAGAAAATGAAAAAGGTCACTTATTCCCTTAACTACCAATAATCAAGGCACACAAGCTCAGAGAGGAAGAAAGGGTAAGGATCTAGCTAATCTGACTGATTAGATATGGGGGTTAACACTGTGCCAGAGAGCTCAAGATGAAACATGCTGCCTACCTCCCAACACCCTCATTGCACTGTAATCTCTTGGAGACCAGGGACTGTTTATTTTTTACCTTTCTTTGTATCCTCAGTGCTTGGCTCAGTGCTTGGCACATAGCAGGTACTTAATAAATGCTAGCTGATTGACAGAGAGGGTATGGAGTCAAGGTGCAGATTGAGGTACATCTTATTTGGACATGGCCAATGCTTATTTTGCTTGACTATGCATATTTGTTCCTTTCTTTTCTTTTTCATTGTGGGGAGGTAGATTTTTGTTAACTGAAAAAAATTAAATTTAAAAAAAGATACAGGGGTCAAGAGGCAACTAGATGGCATAGTAGGTAGAATACTAGACTCGGCGTTGGTAAGATCTTGAGTTCAAATCTTGCCTTAGATCTTTATCAGCTATGTGACCCTGGACAAGTCACCCTCAAACTCAGTTTCCTTATCTATAAAATAGGGATAATAATAGCATCTACATCCCATCAGTCAATCCCAGGGTTGCTGTGAGATTCAAATGAGATAACGTATATAAAGTGTTCAGCAAAACTTAGAGCACTTTCTGAGTATTAACTAGAGGGGCTTGTCCTTTCTGCTGAGCTCAGCTGCTTACCACTAGATGGTGCGCTCGGCTATTTAACAAATAGTAGAATTTCATTCCCCCAAAAGGTCACACTAAGGAAGGCACCTACCAGTAGGTGGTTGGTGGGTGGATGAAGGGAAGCAGAGCTGGAGCTCCTTAACCAAGGAGATGCCTAAATGACCTGCCAACTAGTGGCATGTTTCCCACACTGCGGAATTTGTGAACCCAGACTTTTGTTAACCGTCATTCTTTTAGCCCCTGGGCAAAACTGGGAAGTGTGGGAAGCATGTCTGATGCCCTCCCACCTCCCTATTCAGAAAAAACTAGGCTGAATCTGTGTGTGAGTTTCTTTTATCCCGCAGACATTTCTTCCTCTGACTCTTCTCTAGAGAATTCTTCATCCAGAAGAAGCCTGATGAGGTCAGAGCGTGGGTTCTAGGGGCATAAGCCCTGCTGTCAGAGATGAGGAGCGCCACCCTGGCATTGATGGAAACCAACGGGAGGAAGGATACAGATAATTCTAGAATGCAGCAGGGCATTGTACTTGGGCCAGGCGGGTGTGGTCAAAGCGGGGAAGAGCCTCTGCCATCTGTCCTCTGGCCAAGGAATCTCTTGCTATATCATCATCAGCTTTTATCACGATGGCAGGCAGGTAGCAACAGGGGAGGAAGAGGCTGAACACAAATGAACACCCCCTTTTTTTTTAGGCTGAAAGAGAAGCCTGGACGCTCGTGATGAGTTAGAGCTGGCCCAGCAGGCCTTTGGCAAGACTCGGACACTAAAGCCCTCGGGTCCTCTGTGGTGAGGGACACCAACAGGAGAGGAAGGGCGGGGTTTTCATCGACCTGGCCCTGGTCTCACCTCCTGTGCCTGCTTCATGGGGAAGCAGGGCTAGGCCACAAGGGCTCAGTCTGCTGGGGCAAGTTCCTAGGAATTCCATGCCATGCCATTCCATTCCAATAAGTACTGACCGTGTGCCGAGCTGCACACTGACAGAAACTAACTGACCATCTTCCTGAGAAAGCCACAAAAGGGAGTGGGGTGGGAGGTTTAACGAACTGACCTCTGAGGTCCCTCTGGTTCTGAAATTCTATCAAGAGAAACACAGTAAAGTAAATACTGAATGAAGTGATATGACAAGTCAACAGGATGGCCTTAGTCAGAAGACAGCCCGGGAAAGTCAAACCATCTGTTTGTCCACATCTGAACATAAAATCATAGGAAGTAAAATCTGAAAGGGACCTCAAAGGTAAGCTGGTCCAACCACCCCACTTTCTAGATGGGGAAAACTGAGGCTCAAAGGGGCTAATGGACTTGTGCAAGGTCACACAGGTAATAAATGCCAGTGCCAGGATCTGATCCCAGGCCCTCTATCTCCTGTCCAGCTCTCACTACTCCAACCTATTATCAATCCCCCAAATAAGTCTATCAGCAGGAGACCCTGTTCCCCTTAAGCCACCAGACAGACTCATGCTTTTTCTATTTCAATAAGAAATAAGACTTGAGAGAACAGGTCAGCAGCCCAACAGCCCCCAACAGCGATGTAAAATTAAAAAAAAAAAATTTTAAAAAAAAAGAAATCTATTTTGAAAAAAAAAACACAGCTGATATCTTTCCTTCTCCTTGAGTCTATTTTGCAACAACTCGGGTATCATGACTGGGGCTCATACCCATCCCATAACTTACCCACCCCTGGCACCTGCAGCCTCTGAGATCAACCCCTGGCCCATGGCTGAGACCACCAAGGGGTACTCATACCTGACCCTCCAGTTTGTTCCCTTTTCCAGGGAGCTCCACCATCCCCAGTGAGCAGAGGCAGAGCAGACAGGGCTTATGAATGTAGATGCAAGGATGCCTATTTAGAACATTTTCATCAGGCTCTGCTGCCGCTCTGAGTTCCAATACCAGCATGCCAGCCTCCGCACCCCCAGCGGGGCTTGTGGGCTGGTGTGTAAATGAACAATGGGCACCTTTTCTGCTTTTCCTTTCTTTACTTGTTTTTGGAAGTCCATTTGACAAAAAACAAAAGCAGAAATGAAACCAAAAACCGTGCAATTACAATGAAGGAGCTTGGCCCCCAAAAAGAACAGCAGAAAATATCCCCCCACCTCCCTCCTTTGCAGGCTGTGGCGTGTAGTCAGACTCATTTTTTTTCTTTGTTATAAGAGATGGCTCCATGGGGAGTGTTTAGAGGAGAAATATATTTGGAAATGATGATGGAAGAGCAAAAGATATCAATAATATTTAAGAAGTCTGTTTGATTGGAAAGGGCTGATCTAATCAGGGATTTTTGTTTCTTTTAAATACATTTTTATTGATATATTTTTTCTATTGCTGAAATTTCCCCCTGTAACCTGCCTTTTTTTTCCACTCCAGGAGAGTCATCCCATATAACAAAGAATATTTAATCAGAGGTTCTCAAACCTAGGGTCTGGCAACTTTAAAAATATATTTTTTTATAACTTTTATGTTAAAGTAACTGGTTTTCTTTGTAATCTCATGCATTTTTATTTTACACATTTAAAAACATTATTCTGAGAATAGGATTCATCAGACTTCCCGAGGGAGGCATCCGTGTCACTCAAAAAGGTTAAGAACTCCTCATTTAAATTGCCTGGGGAAAGGTGCTGTGGCACCATGTCATCCATTCACAACTTAAATACAGACAGACCTGTTACCCCTCAACTCTGGGGGACAGGAAGAGAGACAAGGTGACCCAGAATTCCTCAAATTGAGGAATAGCCTCCAATTAAACCAAAGTGTTAGAGGTGGCATTTCCAAAACCTCAAGTGTTATGTGGATTTCTGAATTAATTAAAAAGAGGCTGGCTGAAGAGATGATAAGGTTGAATGTAAATACTCAACAGGCATTTCCTTCTTTCTGGGCTGATAATGAAAAAAGGGGCCAGTATTTACTTTAAGAGCTTCCAATATTTCTAGGACATACAAAGGCAGTGCCTTGAGATGGTAGGGTGAATGAGATATTTGCAGCCCTCTAGGCTTCCCGGAGCCTGCTCTCTGAGGAATCAATCTCAGAACTGGATCTGTTCGCCGGGGGTCGGGGTGGGGAAACCACGGCTCAAAGCCCTGGTCTGTTACTGACCTTTTGCCGTCTCCTTTCTGCACCTTCACCCAGTTCTCCACCTGCGCCATGTTACTCCTCCTCTGGGCATGCTTTTCAGGATTGGTTCGGGGATGGATTACCCTCTTATGCCCACCAGTACCATTCTGCTCCCCAAGCCCAGAGACCCCACCAAAGGAACTAGGCAGCACGCCGTTCCTCTCCATTAGCTGAGGCTGGGCGGACTGAACCCTGGGACCACCGGGTAAGTCCACAAAGAAGGAGTCTGCCTCGGCTGCTGGGTAGGGGGACTTGGACCTCCCCCTGTCCCGCTTCCCCTCCAGAGGGTCCCTCTGGAGGCCGTAGCGCTCCTCATCGTCTTGCTCGGGCCTGTCAAAGCCAAAGGCGTCATTGTGGGCTCGCCGGGAGCAGTCCCTGGTATGTCCAGGGCCCACGCGGCCACACTCTCGACAGGGGTCTGTATGGTTGGCTTGTGGGACAGCTTGCCGCTCTGTCCTCTCGGCATCCCTACAATGATAGCACAAAACTGGTCTCAGTGCAAGTAGGGTCAGAAGGCCGGGGGTGGCCAAAACGGAGCCCAGCTCCAGAGGGTCCAGCTGTTAGCAAAGTCTTGGTTGAATGTCCATACACAGCCCTGTACCGGACAGATAGCCGCATAATGTCTTCACTGAAAAGCTACTCTTCTGGGGGTGGCCCAGGATCAGCCCTCTGTACCTGTGAATTGGCTATATTTTTACATTCCTGTTATGCTGGATATATGGACTAAATGCATCTTGCATCTACCTGTATCCACTAATCCTTGTTTCCTCATCTGTAAAATGGGGGAGGGGAGGAGATTTTAAAAAGCCACTTGCAGGGTACATAATGGGTTTGGTACCAATACAGGGCCAATGAATAGGAGTCACGCAGACACAGATTAATTTTAGCTCAATATAAGGGAGGAAATGGTGTGGTAGAAGATAGGTTAGTTTTAGAATCAAGAGACTTTTGTTTCATTCCTGGCTTGGCTACTTACCACTTCTCTGATCACAGGTGAGCTGTTTAAGCTTCCTGTGCCTCAGTTTCCTCATAGGCAAAATGAAAAGGTTAGACTAGATGACCTCTAAGATCCCAACTCAAAATCTATTCTCCTATGAGTCTAAGGAACAGCTTATTGACAATTATTCAACAAGCAAACAGGCTTCCTTGGAAGGTGGAGAGCTCCCCAAGCTTTGAGACCCGATGATATATAGAAGAGATTCATTTTTTCAAATGGAGGTTGGACCTCAAGGTCCCTTGTCGGCCAGAGAATCTATCACTCTATGAATCGGCAGTTGTGGCTTTAGGAAAGGATCCTGGGAACTCCTCATTCTCTTTAAATCACTGACCATGGAGGCGGAATAAACTTCCAAAAATTACAATCCAGAGGCCTGGGCCCCTCCTTCCATTTTTTAGGACTGTCCCAGCAGTGAAGGTTTTTCTGATTAGAATGAAATCTCTTTCTTCCCATTCTATTAAAAGAGTAAATGAGCGTGCGCGCACACACACACACACACACACACACACACACACTCATACCCCCTTACAGCCCAGTAAGTGCATCATGGTGTGATAGAAAGAATATTGGTCTTGGAATCAGGAGAGACTTGAATTCAGATGCCACTCTGGAACACAAATCGGTTGTGTAACTATTGGCAAAGAACCTAATTTTCTGAAGTCTCAGTTTTCTCACCTATAAAATGGGAGGAATGACGTGCTACAAGAATCAAATGAGATAATGTATACAAAGCCTTCTGCAAACCTTAAAAGTGCTATACAAACATGAGGCATTATTAATAGAGAAGGAGAAGGAGGAAGAGGTGACAGGTACCTGGTGGCAAAGTGGAAAGACTTGAGTTCAAACTCAGAAAGAATTCAAATCCAGCCACCCACTTAGTGGCTGTGTGACTCTAGATAAATGACTTATATTTTCCTCTTCTGTAAAATGGGGATAAGGATAGCACCGGCCTCAAAGGTAGTTATGAGGATAAAATGAGATATTTATAAAGTGCTTTGTGAACTTTAAGATTTGCAATATATAAATGCTAACTAATAATAATAGCAACAATAATAATAACAACATTGATGCTATTGAAATCCTTAGAAAGCTTACAATGAGCTCCAGGGAGAGGGGGCAGATGTTCTGTAACTCAAAATCAGCTTAGCCTCGGTGGATTGTGGCAGGGAGCATTTAGAGATAATCCCCAGCTCCTGAAAGCCAGGATCATGGACGGGATATTCACATTTCTCAGAGCCAGGAAGAGACCTGTGTTAATAGACTGCAAGGAAAAGAAACCCAATTCTTGTGAGTTTGGAATATGTTGCATTCTTATTTGTTTTGTTTTTTTTTAAACTTATGGAAGCCCTAAGTCAGGCAAGGCAACTTTAATCAGCCCTTAATATGTGAGGAAGGAGGCAGCTAGAGAGCTGTGTGTTGATTTATTCTTTTCCCTGGAGTTAAATAGAGCAGTCCCCTTGGGGCCAAGGAGTAACCTGTCTGGTTCTAAATTAACACGGAATGTCATGACAGCTCTGAAAATACAGACTGACAACCCACCAGCCCGCCCGCCTGCCCGCATAGGAAGAGGCACCTTGTCAAATGAGCCAGATTGCCCCGGGGTACCGGACGGCAGGCTGAAGGGACTGCAGGCTCTGGGTGCCTGACGATGTGCAATGTTGGTTTGAGAGTTTTACATCCCCGTGAAGGTGAGGAAGAAGAGCTTGGCAGGGCAAAGAGGCTTCATTGGCACAGCCTGGGGCTGCCTCCTCGGAGTGACTCGAGCACTTCTTCCCCAGCCTGGAGTAATGACCGCTCGTCCAGGTAAGGCGTAGAGGGATCCTTGCTCAGGGACGGCTATGCTAGACTGCCCATGAGGTCTCGTTCAGCTCTGAGATTCTAAGACTTAGGACTCTTCTGAATAGTCTTAACACTCAGACTTCCACTATGTGCTCAGGTTCTGCCTTAATTTCTCATTCTGTAACAAGTCTTAGCCTGGTGTAAGCAAAGAGAGAATGTGCCAAGTAATTAGCAGGTGCTCTGGGCTTAGTGGGTGCTTAATAAATGTTTACCGATTGACTGAAGAAGACCTAGATCAGATTTGACCTCTGACTCTACAGTAGCCAGGGGGCCCTAGGCTAGTTAACCATTTAGTGCCCTCAAGCAACACTCTAACACCACAAATCACCAAACAGTTGTTGATTCCCTCTCCTGGCCACCCAGCAGGAATAGCAGTACCCACCAGCAACAGGCTGAGGTGACCCCAAGACCCAGGCCCAGTACCTTCTGCCAGGTGGGGGGACCTGGTGGTAGCAGCACCACCTATCTACTGACCCCTACCTCCCCAGGAGAAGCAGCAACAGGCTAGAGCTGACCTAGACCCAGACCCAGATCCTCTTGGGTGGGGAAACTGGCTACAGCATTGCCCAGTCCACTCCCCCTCAAAGGACTAACAGGCAAGAATGACTTAGGCCCTACACCCCTGGTTCTTACCCAGCAGCAACACCTTTTGGAAACTGAGAGAATTATTTTTCATCTGCCACCCACTATCATAATTCCCTACCATCTATTTCTCTCCCTTCCTGTATTAATCAATCACTGGTCCTTTGTGATTGTCTTATTATTTCATCCCCACCTTCCTCAACCCTGGTCCACCATATTCCTCTCTGATGCTTCCACTGTGCCCTCTGGAATTCCAGTTCCATAAGGAAGACAGTTCTCTTTCTTTGGATCTCTTTTTCCCACATTCCTTCTTCCATCTACTAATCATTACCAAGGCCCCACTTGCCCCTGATGACACTATATCCCTGGCATTCCTTTCCACCACTGCTGTGCCTTTATCACCTCCCACCCCAAACACACACTCTGGTCCTGGAGGGGCAGGGGTCACAACAGCTGCTACTGCTCCTTCTAGACTCCTTTTCCCATTATCGCTCAGCAATGCTTAGCACAGCATCTGGCATATGCAGCAGGCACTTAATAAATGCTTGCTCCTTTTCCTCACTCCTTCTCAGAGTTCAAAGTATAAAACCGTTCCACCTAATCCAGATAATGGCGTCACATATGAGCAGTCGGGTCACTCTTCCTCATTTCTCGAGGAATTCAGCAGTGGGCTCACTGATTTCCTGTTCTCACCGATTTCCTGTTCTCACCAACCTTTCATCAAGGGACTCCAGCATCAATGCTGATGTTCTCTCAAACTCCTTAAAACCTCCACAATCTCCTTAAATCCCATCACCTGCTCCTTCACCCACTCAGTCATACATAGGGATGGTCACAACGGATTTTACCCTTATCCACAAACTGGCCTTTTCTTTGTTCCTCCCATTGGACACTCCATGGCCCATCCCCATGCCTCTTCATTGGCCATCCCGCATACCTGGAATGCTCTCCCTCTTCACTTTGGCTTCCTTTAAGGTACAGTCTTGCGCATGAAGCATTTTCTGATTCCACCACATTTTAGAGCCATTCCTCTCAAACTATCTTATATTTAACTACTTTACATTTATGCTTATTCATTCTCTTTCTATTTACTTTGCATATACTTGCATATGCACTTGTCTACTCTCAGAACATGAATTCCTTGTGAGTGGGGATTGTTTCATTCTGTGTACTTTTATTCTCAGGGTCAATGCCCAGCAGGTGCTTAATAAATACATGTTGGTTAATTGGATAATCTATCTTCATTGGTAGAGGGAGTTTTCTGAATTTATCATATACGTAAAAAGAAAATCAAGTTCTACTCAATAAAGATTTGCCATTTCATGTATAACTCTCTCCTCTTCTGTTATGTGTATGGGAATGCTCATTTTATTTGGTGTTTTTTAAGTTCAGATTAAGACAATGGGATCAATGAAACCATATATATGAGATTGCCCATTTTATTTGGTGTCTCTCAAGTTAAGAATGAAATAAAATAAAATAGAGGCAGCTGTGATAGAACTCAGTGGATAGAGCTCCAGCCTTGGAGTCAGGAGGACCTGAATTCAAATCCAGCCTCATTCACCTGACACTAGCTGTGTGACCCTGGGCAAGTCACTTAACCCCGATTGCCTCATCAATAAAAAATAAGTAAATAAAAATAAAGATGAAATAAAATAAAATGAAATAAAGGGAGTTTTCTCATTGGTGATTCTCCATGCAAATGAACTCATGGCTTTGGCCCCTGTAAGCACCTTGAGGTCAAGATCTTTGCCTTATTCTCTTCTTTTCATTGCTTTCTTTTATAGGATGGAGCACGGGGCCTCACATCACAAACCAGAGCCACAATTAAGCTTTGCAGAAAAGCTGGGCCTTGTCTTCCCAGCTAGATTGTCAACTCACTGAGGACAGGGAACTTGGAAACATGCATTTAGAGTTGGAAAGCTGCCTTAAGGAGCCATTGAGTCAGCTCCTTCCTTTTACAGAAGGGGAAACTGAGCCCCGGAGGGGTTTGCCCATGTTCATATAGCTAGCAAGTTGTGGAGTTGAGTTTTAAACTCATGTCTTTTGACTCCAAATTTAGTAGGTCTCCTCTCTCCCCCAGAGGGCTGAGCACCGCACTAGGCACCTAGTTACTAAAACTCCTTGGTGGACTGGATAGCATCCTATTGGGCATAAGGCCAGGCAGGTTTCCTTGTGGACAGCAAATGGGTTCGGGGTAAATATGACCCTTCAACCTTACCGAGTTACCCCGTGCATCAGACATGGATGGTGAAACCCTAAACGATAGGCCGAAGGCCCCCAACTCCACTGAGCCCCATTCAGACCCTGTCTGATGAGTCCTTCCCTTAAGCACCTCAAACTCTCCCGGGGCCTCGGGGTTTCCTCCCGTCAATCAAAGCTGGGAGCTCAGAGGGGGAGGAGGCAGAGCTGCGTCTGTGCCAAACCTAGAGCTGGCTTTTTAAAAATAAATTCCACATCCCGGCTTGTTTAGTTGTCACCTTACTCTTTTGTCAAAACTGAGCAGCAGCAGACGGAGACAGGCAAAAATAAATACGGTTCCTGTTATTTGAGCTTTCCAGGCATTTGGGGGCCAGAGAAAGACGAGCTGAATGCACTGGGAAGCCGAGCCAGGGTCCTTCTCAGAGGAAGAGAGGTTTTGCCTTTGGCTGGATGAGGTTGCTGACGTTTATACGCATAATTATTAATTTCTGCACTAAACCAGCCACTCTGCCGGGGTTGGGGAGGGTTCTACACTCTAGCAAACTTCACTTGGCCCCCGGCTTGTAAACTGATCACAGATTTAGAACTTGAAGGGGTCCTGGAGAACACGAAATCCAACCCTCTCATTTTACTGATGAGGAAACAGAGACCCAGAGAGGTTGTGATTTGAAAAAGGTCACACAGCCTAGAAGTGTCTGAGGAAGGATTTGAACCCTTTGCTAAGGGGTATATTCCATAAGGGCAGGGACTACATCTAATTTATATTCATATTCCACCCTCTCCTCACCTTCACCTCCCCCCCACCCCCAAAGCCCTGCCAAGCATAGGGTCCTAAAACATAGTAGGTGTTTAATTAATGTAGTGAAGACAATCCCAATGACTCCCCAGATGGTCCATTTTACTTTGGGATAGCAATAATTTTAGGCAGTTTTTTCTTAAACCCTGAAATCAGCCTCCCTAAAACATCTACCCATTACCACATGGTAATAATAATGATAATAATAATAATAATATCTAGCATTTATATAGCTATATAAATGTACTTAGTATGCACAGAATAAATACTTGTTCCTTCTTTCTTTTTTTCCTTTCTCATATAATGCTTTAAGATTTGCAAAATACCTTACATACATCATCCCATTTGATCCTCACAACCACCTAGGGAGGCAGGTGCTATTATGCTATTAGCTCCATTTTACAGATGAGGAAAATGAGTCTGAAAGTGGGTAAGTGACGGGCCCAGGGTCACAGGGCTGGTAAGTGTTAGAGGTAAGACTAGAACTCAGGCCTTCCTGACTCCAGGTCCAGAGCTTTATCCACTGCACCACCCAGCTGCCTCTTGGGGCTGAGAATAAAAGGGCTCTAATAATGGTTTCTCTTCCATCTGACAATCCTCCCGATACTTGAAGACAGGGATTATGTTTTCCTCAAGTCTTCTTTTCCAGGTTAAACAGCTGAGTATCTTAAACTGATGACTTTAATGTAGACTGTTCCCAACATCTTGGTCATTGTCTTTTGCAATAATTTTAGCTGGCCACTATCCTTCCTGAGATATGGCATCCAGAACAGGAAACAACACTCCAGGGGCCGTCTGACCAAGGCAGAGGATGCCAACGCGACCATCGTTTTCCTCCTTCTATCAATGTAGCCTCAGGTGACATGAGTTTTATTGGCCCCCAGGTCACACTGATGACTCACTCACAGTCTATCAAATGCCACAGTCCTTTTACAAATTAAATAATGTCTAGGCATGCCTACATCATTTCTACATTGGTGTAGCTGATTTTTTGAAAGTCCAAATGTAAAATTTTACAGTTGACCCCTATTAAATGTCATCATATTAGAGCTAAGAGATGTCATTAGTGGATAGAGTGAGCTGGCCACAGAGCCAGAAAGACTGAGATTCAAGTACTTGCTGGTTGTGTGGTTCTGAGCCAGTCGCTTAACCTTTATCTGCCTCAGTTTCCTCAAGGCCCTGAGGAAGGACAGTTCAGTGGGGTCAGAATAGCTTTTTTTTTTTTTCGAGGTAATTGGGGTCAAATGACTTGCCCAGGGTCACACAGCTAGTAAGTGCCAAGTGTCTGAGGTCACATTTGAACTCAGGTCCTCTTGATTCCAAGGCTGGAGCTCTATCTACTGTGCCACCCAGCTGCCCCAGATCAGAGTAGCTTGTGCTGGAAGGATTGGGCCATGGGCAGGGATGACACTCAGGAAAATGATGACATTGTCAAGGTTGTCTCAGCTCCATTTCACATCATTTCTGCTAGTATCTCAACCCTCTTGCCTAGTGCGTTCATGTTGCCCTGAGCCCTCTCCTCAGAGGGAAAACTGATCTGTCAGGTTGTGGGATACAACAGGAAAAGCACTGAACTTGCAGATAGGAGATCTGGATTTCAATTCAACAAAAAATATTTACTAGCGCCTAATATGGAGAAGGCAATTTGCTAATATAGTAATTGATACACGTAAAGCGCTCTAAGGTTTGCAAAGTGTCTCATCGGGTCCTCACAACAACCTTGTGAAGAAGAAGCCATTATTTTCATCGCCATTTCACAGATGATTTCATTCTACTAACGACCACTCTTTGGGGGTGGCCATTTGTCCAGTTCTGAATCTCCCTGTTTTACAATCCAGCCTGTGTCTCATTTGCTCCACAAGGTCAGCCCAGGAATGGAGCAGGACCTGTGTTATATAAAGGGAACCAAATAACTGACCTACACACCTGCCTTCACAGAGTCACACAATCTGAGAGTTGGAAGGACCTCTGAGACCATCCCAGCCAGCCCATTTATCAAAAGCATCCCCACAAAATAAGATATACAGGAAATGGGGTTTAGAAATCTATTCTGTGCTACAGGAAAATTGAAGGGGAAGGAGATAAGAGAGGGGAGGGATAGAAGGGAGGGCAGATCAGAGGAAAGGGTATTCAGAATGCATGCCATCTTGGGGTAGGGGAGGGACGAGCTGGGGAGAAAATCTGGAATTCAAAATCTTATGGATGTGAATGTTGAAAAGTAAAAATAAATAAATTAATAAAATCAGGGAAAAAGAGTACCAAAAAAAAGGGTCAAGGATGGGATCTGAACCTGGTCAGACCTCTATCTACTATGTCATATTGCCATTCCAAAGGCAAAACAGACAACAGGACAACAATAATACCAGTGTTTGCCGCTGTTTAGTCATTTTCCATTGTGTCCAACTCGTCTTGACCTCATTTGGGGTTTTCTTGCAAAGATACTGGAGCGGTTTGCCATTTCCTTCTCCAGCTCATTTTACAGATGAAGAACTGAGGCAAACAAGGTTAAGTAACTTGCCCAGGGTCACAGAGCTAGCAGGTATCTGAGGTCAGATTTGAACCCATGAAGATGAGTCTTCCTGACTCCAGGCCTGACATTCTATCCACTGCACCAGCTATTTGCTCTATAGTAGTACCAGTACATATACTAAATAAGTAAATTTTTAAAAAAAAGCATCCCCACTGTAACACAGTCAGCAGGCAATGGGAAAACTGAAGCTGAGAGTGATGCGCCCAGGGTCACAGAGGTAGTGAGCATCTGAGACAGGATGGGAACGTGGCTCTTCCTGATTCCAAGTCTGCCTTTGACCTACTGCGCCAACCAGCGCTCTAGAGGTACTGGGCCGAGGAAGGAGTTCAAAGCCCAGCTTTTCCTATTCCCCTCAAAGGTATCTTCATCTCTCAAAGAGCTAGCATTCACATAGCACTTGAAGGTTTGTAAAGCGCTTTACAAATATCATCTCATTTTATTCTCCCAACAACCCTAGGAGGTAGGTGCTATTGTTATTACTCCCATTTTACAGATGAGGAAACTGAGGCAAAAACAGCTGGGAGATAAGAAATTCGACTCTGCCTACCTCACAGGGTTCTTGTGAAAATCATAGGTTCTATCAGTTGTCAGTTTCTGGAGAGCAGGGACTGGGATTTTGGGGGGTTTTTTGTTTGTTTGATGTTTTTTGCCTTTCTTTGTATCCCCAAAACTTAGCATAGTGCCTGGCACATAGCAAGCTCTTAATAAATGCTTGACTGATACTAAATGTGCTTTGTAAACTGGGAAGTACAAACTTCAAAGATCTTTTTTGACAGTCACATTAAGATTTTGGGAACTTGATGTGTTAATGTCTGGGGAGAAAGGAAGTGAATAAGCATTTATATAGCACCTACTATGTGCGGAGTACTACACTAAGCACTTGTACAAATATTATCTCATTTGATCCTCACACCAACCCTGGAAAGTGGGTGCTGTTATTATCCTCATTTTACAGTTGAGGAAACTGAGGCAATCAGAAGTTAAGTGACTTGCCTGGGGTCACAGAACTAATGAGTGCTTAAGGTCACATTTGAACTCAGGTCTTCCTGATTCCAGGCTCAGCATGCTATACACTGTGCCACCAGCTGTCTGCTGGGAGTATTTTTACTTATGAAAAGGAGCTAAGGGAAAGAAAGACTTAGGCTGAACATGAATGAATGAATGATAGGATTTCAGGTACCTGTTTCAGGAAAGGGGACTATTCAGGTGCCCTTAAAGTTATCCCATAGAGGCAGAGACCTATTCTACCCACACATAAAGCCCAACACAAGAGGAGTTTCCTCTGGAGCACTGACCGCTTCAATGATGCTCGAGACTGTAGTTGGGCAGCCTGGTTCATGGCTCTGATCCAGCCATTCATATCTTCTTGAGTGTCAGCGCTGAAATAGTAAGTTCTCATCCCCGAGTGCTCCGCCGGAAAATCAACGCCAGAGGTGTTGTAGATGTGGGCCCGCATGCCATTGTGGACAGCCTGCAAATGCAGAGGAGGCAGATCCGTGTTAGAGGGCAGAAAGCACAGGAAAATTCATATCCTGTAGGAAGGAAGGAAGGGAGAAAGAGAGGGGAGGAGAGAAGAGAAAGAAAAAGGAAGGAAGAAAGAGAGAGAGGAAGGACAGGAAGGAAAGCAGGGGGGAGAGAGGGGGAGAGAGGAAGGGAGAGAAAGAGAGAGAGAATATCTTAAATACAAAGTAATTGTATACAAAGAAATACAAAGAAAGAAAGAGAGAGAGAGAAAGGAAGGAAGGAAGAGAGAGAAAGACACAAAACAGTATTCATGCCACATGCCCCTCTGCCCTGGAGAGTCTAACACCAGGCCTGCCCATCCCCACGAATTCAGGAGCACATCAACCCATTTCCATAGCTCTGAAATACCAAAGGCTCCTCACAGTATATAAAACACAGTGACAGACGTTTGTTTTCCTCTAGGAGTCTCACAGACTTTTATGTCTGTTTTCTATTTACTCTTCCCAGACGAGGAGGGTCCTGCAGATGAAGTTTACACGAGAACCAGATTTTTTTTCCACAATCTCCCCTTAGAAAGCAAACACACCTGGGAATTGCTGAGTCTAAGCTCTGCTGAAGCATGCATCTCCTTGTTTGGCTACCACTAGAATGAGGTCCAGAAATCTGCTGCAATAACAGGTGGCTTGAGGCTAACATCCCAGCAGACGGCTAGCATTTACAAAGTGCTTTAAGGTTTGCAAAGCACTTTATAAATATTATCTCAAATAGTAATAATAACAGCTCACTCATACAGCACTTACTATGTGCAGACACTGTGCTAAGCACTTCCACAACTATTAGCTCATCTGATCCTCACAACAACCCTGCAAGGTAGGTGCTATTATTATCCCCAATTTACAGCTGAGGAAACTGAGGAAGAAAGGTTAAGTGACTTGCCCAGAGTCACAGAGCTAGTAAGTATCTGAGGACAGATCTGAACTCAGGTCTTCCTAACGCCAGCATTCTATCCATCGAGTCACCATTAACAATGTCTAGGTGTTCAAATTTGGAATGCGGCATTTCTTAAGATCCACTCTCTCCACTCCCAAAAGCAAAGCACTTTTTCTACTTCCAAGGAAGAGAGTGACATAAACTTTCTAGGGACGGGCTGCTAGCTTTGCACAACAGGTTTACTCAATCAATGAACCAACAGGCATTTAAACACCCACTCCAAGACAGGCACCGTGATAGGCACTGGACCTAGAGACAGAAACAAACCACACCCCAAGATAACATGGTGATCTACTTCAAGTTACTCTGGGTTCTCAATTAGCAGCTGATGTTTCCTGAAGAAAGAAACAGAGACTTTAAGTGGCCGATACAGTGACGGGCTGAGGGCGCAGCTTGAGCATTCTGCAGTCAGCCAGTCCCCAGACAAAGGGGTCAGTGAGTCCTAAAAGTAAGCACGTGTGAGTACACAGCGCCCAAAGAGCCCCAGAGCATCCTTCAGCACGCAGAGCGTCTTGTGCGAGCAGCTCCCTCTAACTTGGCCCACGGAGGCAGCTGAGTGTCCAAGGTGCTATATCTCAACCGGGACAGCAATGCCAGTCGATGTAAGCTCATGTATTAATGAAAGAGTGGCAGCGTTGCTGTCCCCAGGGTCACAACAGCAGACAGACAATAAAGTTCTCTTAGATTCTGCTGCCTCGTCCCTCCCAGGGACCTGAAGGAGCAACAGGACCAGGCATTGCCTTATTCTTAACAATAACAAGGAGAGATTTGGGAGTCACAGCAATAAGATATGTGATTAAGGCAGATTTCAGGGAGAGGTTTCATTGACTGGCCCACAATAATAACAAACAATTCACATTTTTTTCTATAGCTCCTAAAGGTTTACAAACTTTCCCCTGACAACAGCCCCATGAAATAAAGAAGACAAGCCTTATCATCATCACTTTATAGACGAGGAGACTGAGGCTCAGAGGGGTTAAAAATGACTCGCCTAATGTCAGACACCTAGTAAAGGGCAGAGCCACTCATAATCGTGGGGTGTCCAAGCTAGAGGGGATCTTGGAGGTCTAGCGCAGGGGTTAGCCTTTTCTATGTCATGGACCCCTTTGGTGGCCTGGTGAAACCTATGGAATAATATTGGTCACCCACATTTGTAACAGAAGGATCAATTTCAGCGGGAGGTTAGTGAAAATAATGATCTAATTTTCTTCCCATCCAATTTCACAGAACCCCTGAAATCTATCCATAAATCCTTGGAGGTCCTGGGGACCCCAGGTTAACAACCCTGAGTCTAGACCAACGCCATCGTTTTATAGGTATGAGAACTTGACTCAAGGACACTACAAGTGGCATAGGGGTTCAATGGATAGAGGACTATGTTTGTAGTCAGGAAGACCTGAGTTTAAATTTGACTTCAAACACTTGGGCAAGTCACTTAACCTCTAATTACCTTAGTTTCTTCAACTACCTCCCAGGGTTATTGTAAGGATCAAATGAAATAACATTTGTAAAGTTCTTAGCAGACTACCTGGCACGTAGTATGGGGCTAAATTAATGTTTGTTCTCCCCCTCCCTTCCTTCTTTCCTCCCTCCTCCCCTTTTTTCCTTCCTTCCATCCTTCCTCCCTCCCTTTCTTCCCACTATACCATGAATACAAAGAACATTAGCAGCTGCATCAGCTCTTTTGGGACAGGAAGCATACCCCCTTATCCTACAGCTAGACACCCACACAAGGCTTACAAGACTCCATCAAGATCCCAGTCACACCCTCTCCACCCCCAGGATGTGCAGTTTTGCAACAGAAACAATATAACCGGGCTCTGAAGGTTTACCGAGGGATATTTTTATGGCTACTTTTATCCTGCTCCCTTCCCTGTGCCTGGAACAGTTATCCCTCCCCTGTTCTGCCTGTTAGATTTCTACCCCTCATTTAAAGCCAGCTCAAATGTCACCTCTTCCACGAAGCCTTCCCTGATTTGTCAAATCTCAGACATCACGTGGTTCTTTATTTCACACCTCCAATATACTTAGCATGTAACATTACATAGAATAATTATCTCATTTCTTTATTTACATTTTGTATGTCCCCTTCCTAGTACCCAGCACAGTGTTCAAATTAAGTACAAAGGTTCTTAATAAAATGTTTTCTGATAATTAATTAAGAAAGATGGACTGAAGTCATCAAACTGCAGAGAACAAACCTCTAACCTCAGAAATGCACTTTCTATACCTTAAAAACTAAGGGTTCAGTGAATACTCTCGGCTGAGTTTTTCTAAGAAATTCTAAGAGAGGGAGCGAGGGAGGGTGGAAAAGGACAGAAGAAGGACAGTACAATGATAAACAAGGCTTTCCTAGAATATATTTTTCACACCTTCTGATGAAGTGTTAGCATATGGTACATAGAATCTTGGGGAGTTACTTTGGGATGCTCAGGTGTTATAATAAAGGCCGGTTGAACTGAATTGAATTGTTGAAATATGTCGCTAGACACTTGTTTTCAAGGAAGACTTTCTGGCTAATAACAAGTCTGCATTCCACTAAGAGAACTGTCCCAAACCAATCTGATTCAAGTCAAAAAGCAATTTATTAAGAGTCAATTGTGTGCCCTATGTTATGATCCTATGTTGGGGGAGAAGGGGCAGGGAGTACATATACATACTTCCAAAGTAATACTTGGAAGGAGAGAACACTAATCAGGGAAGGCTTCCCAGAAGAGGTGACGCCAGAGCAGAGCCTTAAAGGAAGAAAAGGATGCTGAGAACCAGAGATGAGGAAGGATTTATTTCAAGCATGGGGGATGTCTTGTGGGAGTGTATGAAGGTAGGAGGTAGAAAGGAATGTAGAGTGTATGAAAGGAAATCACATAAAATAAGACTGGAAATGTAGGTGGGCGCCAGACTGTGAGAGCCTTAAATGCCACACTGAGGAGTCTGTATTTTTATCTGAGAGGCAGCAGAGAATTACTCAAGATCTTTGAGCAGAGAAGTGAAATGATCAGACCTGTGCCTTAAGAGTATTTGAGCAATTATGTGGATGATAGATGGCAGGGGGTGGGTGGGTGGGGATGGACTGGCAGGGAGGGCACCTGGGAGGCTCTTACAATAGTCCAGGCAAGAGATGATAAGGGTCTGCACTAGGGCAGGAGCTGAGTGAGCAGAGAGGGAGATGGATGCCAGAGAGGGTGGGAAGACAGATGGAGAAGACACCGCAGCTACCTGGATATGTGGGACAAGGGACAGCGAGTCTAAGATGTCTATGAAGACGCAAACCTGGGTGACCGGGAGCATGGTGGCACCCGTCAGGGAGAAAGCTGGGGGAGATGAGGATTTTGGAGTGTTGGGTCCTAACAGGGCATTGAGGCAGAAAGGACCAATAGGCAGCTGGGATGTGGGACCAGAGTGGAGGGGAAAATTTAGAGACTTGGCAGCCATCTGTTAAGAGATGATATTCAAATATAGAGGAGCTGCTGAGACAGCCAAGGGAGAAGGCATACAGAGAAAAGAGGGCCCAAAACAGAACATCCAGGGACACCCACGTTTAGGGGACAGGAGATGGATGGTGAACCAGCAAAGGAAATGGAAAAGGAATAGAGGAACCGTCAGGGAGAAGGGGAAAGGGAAAGGAGAGGGAGAGGGGTAAAAAGAGGACAGGGGAAGGGGAGGGAGAAAGGGGAGAGGGAGGGAGAGAAAGAGGATTCCAATAGCCATTTATAAATGGAAAGGGTAGGATTAGGTGACATCTAAAGTTCCTTTTAATTCTAAATCCTAACTGTGTTCCAATCAGTACCGCTCTTTTCAAATAGAACGTAAGAAAATGGAACTTGGACCAGATATACATTCACAGCTGGGAAAGGGCTAGGGGGGCAGGAATCTCTCCTTCCAGAAGATGGGGTCAGACCAGTCACCCTGGAGTATGTGTGAATGGGAGACAGAGGAGGACCACAAAAAAATGATTCCTTTGCAGTTGCAGGCAGGACAGTAAGCCCACCACACAATGAAGAATGAAACAGGTCCTAATCCAGGTCCCCAGCTCTAGGACCCCAGGTAATCCCTAGTTCAACTCCAGGTCTATCCCACAGAGAAGAGAGAGTGGAAAGAAAAGCAGCCTGGATTTCCTATAAGAACAAATTGTGGTTTCATCCCAACCCTGAAGCCAGTTTATTTGTGGAGTCAATCACTGTGAATTTTTTAATTTGTGGCCCAAGGATGTGACTAACACCCATGGGATTCCCAGTAAAAGATGGTGGGTATCAACATCTCACAGCCCTTCAAATAGCTATGGCTGGAAACTGAATTTTGTTTAATGTCTATACTTTTCCACACCCATCCATTAGTGATACTGTTCCACAAAATTAGGTGACTAGACCAGGATCTGTGCTTCCCTTCTGTCTTACATGGACCCAAACAGCCACTGGAGCTGGAGTGGGGAGGGGATTTCCAAATAGAGATAGTCTGGGTTGTTCATCTCCTTGGAGAAGCAATTACAGTTGCCTATAATGGTCCCAGAGTCCCCAGCTTTGAATTCCTAGGGCTAGCATCATCTGTAGCCATGAAACTCTTCCCCAGAATGTCTGTGGTTATAACCAATGAATAGGATCCTGGACTCTACCAAACTTAGGCTCAAGGTTAGCTTTGTGGGGAGCTCCTGGCGTATAAGGAGCCAGACAGAAGCCCTACAAAAACTAGGGCCTAAGTTCTTCTGGAAATCTCACTACAAAGAATGGAGCTGCAAAAGCATTTTATTTCAAATATTTTCATGTAAGCCAGGTGGTTTCTATTTGAGTGAATTAACTTTCAAAAATATTTAAGTTAACATTGAAAAACACAATCCAAAAGACAAACCATTTATACCTTAAAAGAATACTTGCGGTTTATACGATCTTCGGGCCCAACAGGAGAGATCACATAGCTGGGCAGTGGGATGCTCCCTAGGACGGCTTCTTCTCGACTGTCTTTGAACAGAAGAAGAAAAAAAAGATCAGGATGAGTCATGAGATCTCACCCAAAGGAGGAGGACAGCAAGAGTCAATCAACATACATTGGGCATACGTGATCTACAAGGTCTTACCCTTGAAAAGCAACATGGTCTCTGCCCTGAAAGATGAGGATGTCTGCTGCCTGAGATTCTTGAAGGTGAAAGGGACATCAAAGGTTCTATATAGTCCTAACATGAAAGAGATGGAGTTCTCCTCTCTAGCATTTCTGGCCAGTGGTCATCGAGCCTTGCCTTGCCTTGCCTCACCTTGGAAACATATGCTGTGCTTGCATGGAGATAGGACCAGGTAGGGGAAAGGGAAAGAGACAGACATAGTCCTCTAGAAAAATGAAGACAGATGGGATTATCTCCGGCTGGGGGATGGGCAGGAAAAGGAGATAAAAGGGATGAGGGAAGGCATCCTGGAGGCCAAGGTGGCACCTGGGCTGATCCTCAAATAGAGGAACAAGTTTCAACAGATGGAAATAAGAAGAGACAAGAGATAAGCATTCTCTCCCAGAGGGCAGAGCCCAACAATGGGTTACAAAATGAACTGATTAAACAATAATAATAGCTGACAAGAGACAGCATGCCATCATGACTGGTTGACTTCAGGAGCAGGAAGACGGGTTCAAATCCCACTTCTGACATCTACTGGCTGTGTGACTCTGGACAAGTCACTTAAGTCTGGAGTACTCTGGGAAACTCCCTAAGACTACTAGTTGGCTTTTCAAAATCCTTGCTGGACTGGTTCCTTCCTACTTCTCGAGTCTTCTTATACCTTCCTCCTTTTCCTGTACTCTGGGATCCAGCGACACTGACATCCTTGTTATTCCTTATAGAAGACAGGCCATCTCCTGACTCCCAACATCCCCGGCTGTCCCCCATGTCTGGGCACCCTCTCCGTTCTCATCTATGCTTCCCGGCTTCCCTGACTTCCCTTAAGCCTCAGACAAAGTCCCACTTTCTGCATGAAGCCTTTCCCAATCTCCCTTAACCTCAGGGCCTTCCTTCTGGTGATTATCTCCAATTTGTCTGGACTGTATCTGGTTTGTACATAATTGTTTGCATGCTGTCCCACCCACCCCCATTACACCAGGAGCTGCTTGGGAGCAGCTGCTGTCATTTCTATTTTTTTGCATCCCCAGGACTTCAAACAATGCCTTTTACATAGTTGGTGCTTAATAAATGCTTATTGATTGACTAAAGTTGTGGAACAGTTGATTAGCACAGGGGAGGCAATGTGGTCCAACAGAAAGAGCATGGGTGGGGCAGCTAGGTGGTGCACTGGATAGAGCACCAACCCTGAAGTCAGGAGGACCGAGTTCAAATCTGGCCTCAGACCAAACAGTTGACACTTACTAGCTGTGTGACCTTGGGCAAGTCACTTAACCCCAATTGCCTAAAAGAAAGAGCATGGGATTTAGAGTCTGAGGGACTCTGCTTCTGATGCTTGCTGCCTGAATGAACCTGGGCAAATCATTTAGTTTCTCTGGGTTTGGGCTTATGCTTCTGTAAAATGAGAAGGTTCCAGGGGCAGCTAGATGACACAGTGGATAGAGTTCCAACGTTGGAGTTAGGAGGACCTGAATTCAAATCCGACCTCAGACACTTGACACATACTAGCTGTGTGACCCTGGGCAAGTCACTTAACCCCGATTACCTCACCAAAAAGCAAAAAATAAAATAAAATAAATACAATAAAATGAGATGGTCCCTTTTAGTCCTAAATCCTATAACCTCATGGTACACAAATTCCCCTAATGGACCTAGTCTGCAAAGTTGCTGGCACCACACTTAGTCGGGCCTGCCAGCATCTCTACCATCTGTGGGAAGTCACTTCAGTTCCCTGGGCCTCAGTTTCCACATTTATAAAATAAAGGGTTTAGACTACATGGCCTCTATAGCCCAGTCCAGCTCTATATTCATGGTTCAATACATTGGTAGAGAGGACTTTCTCACTCCCCTACACCATTGAAATAATTTTTTTAGTTGTTTTCCATTGTGCCCAATTCTTCATGACCCCTTTCGGGGTTTTCTTGACAAAGATACTGGAGTGGTTTGCCATTTCCTTCTCCAGATTATTTTACAGATGAGGAAACTGAGGCAAACAGGGTTAAGTGACTTGCCAAGGGTCACACAGCTAGTAAGTGACTCCAGGCCAGGCAGTCTATTCACTGAACCATCTAACTGCCCCAGTGAAATCATAGGTCTAGTTAAAAAAAATTGTAAGTCTAGTTTAAAAAAACCACACACACAACAAAAACTTGAAAGTCTTCAAAGCGTTTCACACACATCTTTTCATTTGATGCTCCCAACAACTTTGTGAGGTAGCTGCAGCAGCTATTATTTTCTCCATTTTACAGATGGGTAAACTGAGGCTCAGAGGTGTGAAAGAGACTTTATCGTGATCACTCAGCTAGTACTTATCAGGGTCAAGATTTGAACTAGGGCCTTTCTTGGCTACAACTGCAGTGTTCTTTAGGTATACCAATCCTACCTCTGAACAGTAACATTTTAGGTGACAATGCTGGGCAGAACCCTGCATTAGGCAGTAGTGGAGATGCAATGTAAAGATATTAGATAAGGCAGGCCCTTACCCTCAGGGAGTTCTCATTCTAGCAGAGAGATGAGATGCCTCAGACAAGACAAAACACATGAGGTTATACGGAGAGGTACAAAATCAAACATTATGTGAGGTCAGAGTGGGAAAAGCTGGTACCCACTGGGGGTTGGGATTGGGGCAGTGGTTGAGCTACAGATGAATAGGATAAAAGGGCCTGGGTTTGTAGATGGAAGGGATTCGAGGGGTCACCTGGGAATTCACAGAAGAGACAGAAGCAGATTTCTCCTACACTATAAACTCCATGAAGGCAGATGCTATCTGAGGTCTCCGCCTACCACAGTACTCTACATATATGTGCTCAACACATATTTAGGGCACTGAATTACATGCCTCGCCTGTGCATGCACATGTATGCATTCGTCTCCTCTTAAATTTGACTGGAAAGTTTCCACACCAGGTCTGTGCCCTCAGTGGGATGGGATTTGCAAAGATTGCGGGACGTGCAATAGTCTATAAATGAATCAAACTGAACAGGACGTAAATAACTCAAGCACTTCACCCCTCTTCCCTCCCTTTGCTCCCTCTAAGCATTAGACAAGCTAGACTTTTCTCCATCTCCCATTTCATCCTGCCTTCTCCTCTATGCCTACGCCTTTGCTCTCCCTATCCCCTGTGCTTAGAATGCCCCCCCCTTATCCTCCCCATCTAGTTTGTTAAAGTCCTTCCCTTCTTTCAAAGACCAGTTCAGAAGCTACCTCCTCCATGAAGTCCTCCCTGGCTGCCTGGCCCACTTAGTGAGGGCCATCTCTCTTGCCTCACATCACACAGTATTTTTAATCTGTACTCTCTCTCCTATCTGAGTCATTTATGAGCCCATCCTTGCCAGGCTTCTTGAAAGCAGGATGTGGGTCATCCCTTTCTTCATGTTCTCACTGCCTTACACATAGTAGGTGCTTCATAATAATTTTTACTGAACTGAATTGCTAGGACTACCAGGGACAGGGATGGAGAGCAAACTCTTCTGGGGGATGCACTTTCAGAGACCTGCCATCAGCTAAATGTGGGAACGAGGTAAGGGCCACAAACTAAGAGCCCCCAGAGCAATTTAACTTTATCAGGCTTAGAGACATCTAGGTGGGTCGGCAGCACTGGGCGCCTTCATGACAACGGAAACTGACCAAAGGAAGGCGCTTCATACCAACTTCTTTCTCTGCCAGGGAGAATGTCCACTCACCTTTATAGTAGAACAAACAGTAATCAGCAAGCACAAACCATCTTCTCTTCCATAATCGCATCCCAGAGCTGTCCTACAAAGTAGAGCAAGCCAATTCAGAGGGACCCCCGTGCACGGCCCTCCCCACCCTATCACGTAGCACAAGTGAATTGGGGAAGTAGTGAAGCCTCACTGTAGCCTTTGTAATAAATATAATAATAATACATTTCCATGGGACTAGAGGGTTAAGAGTATGAGTAATATCTTGTGCCCATTTTATAGATGAGGTTCAGATGGGTTGACTCAATTGCCCAAGGTAATGCTTCCTTTAATGCTCTAAATCAGTGGTGGGGAACCTGCAGCCTTGAGGCCACATGTGGCCCTCTAGGTCCTCAAGTGCGGCCCTCTGACTGAATCCAAACTTCACAGAACAAATCCCCTTAATAAAAGGATTTGTTCTGTAAAACTTGGACTCAGTCAAAAGGCTGCACCCAAGGACCTAGAAGGCCACATGTGGCCTCGAGCCCCCAGGTTTCCCCCCTGCTGTAGATAAATGCAATCTATTGCTTTGTGGCCCCTTTTGTGACTGATGGCATGTGTCTCTTGGGAGGAAGCTACAAGGGTCCTCGGTGCTTTTTGAATGATATGTCTGTTACGTGGTCATCTCACGACAGAAACGCTTTGTGTGGTTTTTTTTACTTTTTCTGGGGGAAGGTTCCCCATCCCTAGTGCCCCTTCTCATTGTCTGAAGCCCTCACCTGTTTGTGCAACCAGCCTCTCACCACCACAGGGACATTGGGGTTCCTTCTGATAGCCTGGTCCCTTTTTCCAAAGCTGTGGATTTTGCTGGTCTTGATAACCTAGGAGAGGGGGAAAAAAACCAAAAAACCTAAAGATTTTAACTAGAGCATTAGGAAGGATTGAGATTTGATTCAAGAAAAAACGTCCCAGTCCCAGGGGCCTTTTTTTTTTTTTTTAACACCAGCAGCATCAGGGACCACCATTTGACTTGGAAGCATGGAAGCCAGGGCAGTGTCTTCCAATCCTAGAAATGTATGACCGTCACATGCAATGAACCTAAGAGGTGATGATCACCCAAAAAAAGAAGTGAGACAGAGAGAGATCCTAAGACCCAGAAAGATGGCCCTAGACAGACATGAGCCATTAGGGAATCTCACAGGATTTACAGCTGGCCAATGAGGAACTTAGAGCTCATCTAGTCTAATCCTGTCATTGCACAGAATAAGAAACTGAAGTCTACAGAGGTTAAGTAACTTGCCTAGGTCACCTAGATAGTAATTAGTCAAGCCAGGATTTAAGCACCAGTCTTTAGATTCCAGAGGAGTAGCTAGATGGTGCAGTGGATAGAACACTGGGCTTGGAATCAGGAAGACTCATCTTTATGAGTTCCAATCTGGCCTCAGACACTTACTAGCTGGGTGACCCTAGGCAAGTCACTTAACCCTGTTTGACTCAGTTTTCTCATCTGTAAAATGAACTGGAGAAAGAAATGGCAAACCACTGCAATATCTTTGCCAAGAAAACCCCAAATGGGGTCATGAAGATTCAGACATGATTTAAACAACTCAACATTAACCAAAAACAAAAACAAAAACAAAAACAACTTTAGACTTCAGACCAGCCTCTACCAGCAAACAATGATCCCAATGTGTCCCTTGGTAGTCTGGGGCAGACAGAGTCTACTTAATCCAGGACCACTTACACAAGGAACAGTGACTGGACCAGGAATCTGGACATTGGTCTCTGCAACAAATCCTGTGTGTCCTTGGGCAAATTGTTGCCTTTCTCTGGGCCTATGACCTCTTCCATAAAATGTGAGGACTTGGCTTCCGAAAGTCCCTTCCAGCTCTGAACTCCTATGATTCTATGGGATTTAACTTTTGGTTGTCTCCAGGTCCTCCTCCAGGACCATATGCACAGGACAGCCTCAATAAACACAGGTGCTGACGTTGTGTGATAACTAACATCGATAAACTTAACCCTTCCCAACAATACAAAGATCTAAGACATCTCCAAAGGCCTCGTGATGGAAAATGCTATCCACATCCAAAGAAAGAACTAGGGAATTTGAATTGCTATTTTTTTCTCTTCTGTTGAGTTTTATTTCCTCTTTCTGGTAGTTCCTCCTATTGGTTCTAATTTTTATTTACAACATCATTAATGTTTAATAGGAATGTGTACATATAGCCTATATCAGAGTGTGCACCATCCTGGGGAGGGTGGTGGGGAGGAAGTGGGAGAAGAATTTTAAACTCAAAAGCATATGGAAGTGATTGTTGATAAATCAAAATAAATCAATAAAAAAATTTAAAAAAAAAACACAGATGCTGAAGACAAAAAAAAAAGTATTACCTGCAGCTTTAGTAGGCTGCACTGAACCCAAGCTCTTGAGCACAGAGAAGTAGGTACAGGTACCCTCAACCTCACTAGAACGAACCAGAAACCCAAAATATGGATTCCAGACTGAGTCTGGTAGGTCATTTGAGCTGGGGAGTTTTAGGCTATGATGAGAGAAAGCTGATTGGGAATTTGTACTGAGTCTGGAACCAATATGATGAGCCCCCAGCAAGTAGGAAGGAGCACCAGGTTGCCTAAGGAGGTTCAAACTGGCCCAGATGGGAAAAAGAGAAGGCTCAAGCTTCATAGCCAGATAGCAGTGGGGCTGAGCCCATGAATGGCCACTGTACTTCCAGCCTGGGGAGACTGAGCCTCAGCAATAAACAAATGCTAGGTGGCGCAGTGGATAGAGCTCCGGCCTTGGAGTCAGGAGGACCTGAGTTCAAATCCAGCCTCAGACACATGACACGTACTAGCTGGTGACCCTGGGCAAGTCACTTAACCCTAGTTGCCTCACCCAAAAAAACAAAACACACACACACATACACACACACACAAAACCCTAAATAAATAAATGAGCAAATAAATAAATGCAATGAAGACAGCAAAAATTAAATAAGTAAATGAAATGGGATGATGGGTGGGAGAGTTCCCTGAATAGTGAGATGTACTGTGCAAATAGGAGGGATCTTTCCAAAGTCCTCGCCTGGACTTAGGCTTTCACCTGGACTGGCCATGGTCAAGGTTACAGAGAAGGGAAGGGAGAGTTGAGCCACCTGGGACTCACCCTTGGTCCTGATTTCATATCCGAAGTGGATGTAGTTCCGACTGTGGACGTCTCACTGACCATGCTGGAGGGTCTCTGGTTCATAAACTCTTGCTTTGACATATGCGGATTCGGCCTAAAGACAGAAGGGAGAAGGAACACAGTTAAATGTAAGAAGACCAGAGGCTGAAGGCTTCCCGCCTGAGAATGGGTCAGGGTCCACAGGAGGTGTGCTACCGGCTCTGTTACAGCAGCACTGGATTGGGAGTCAGAAGAATCCTAATTTTGTCATTTCCCACTTTCATGACTTTAGGTAAACACTTTAAACTCCCTGTGCCTAGTTTCCTCATCTGTAAAAGGAGGGAGTTGGATTAGATGACCACTAAGGTGGTCAAGCTCTACCACTATGATCCGATGGTCCTTGTGGACTGACTGTGCACAGCTTTTTTCCCTCAGTTTCTAATTTTTTTTTTTTGGTGAAGCAATAGGGGTTAAGTGACTTGCCCAAGGTCACACAGCTAGTGAGTATCATGTGTTCCCTCAGTTTCTAAAGCCCAATACTCTATCTGTCCATCAGCCAGACACAATCAGCCCTGTTGGTCTGATAAACAGTGAATACATGCAGGCTTTTCAGATGTCAAGGACTTCAGGGACCGTGTACTCCAACTCTTTCATTTTACAGATAAGGAAACTGAGGATCAGAGAACCCCAGTGGTTTGTCCAGGGTCTCACAAATTCTAAAGGTAAAGAGGCAGGATGGGAGTCTGCACTTGACGACAAAAAGGTGGAGGGGCAGAATCACTCAATCCTGACAGCCGCCTTCTCCATCCCAATTAACCCTCAAGGCACCCAAGCCCCTCTCCTCCTGCCCTTCACATGCAGTATTTGCTCCCAGGCACACATCCATACATCCAGCTATCCACACTCTAGTCAGTGCTTGGCACTCAGCAATCTACCCCTTACACATACACACACACCTCCATCTGCCCACGATCCCAGAAAAAACTGCTTATAATTAGTAACTAGAGATGATTCCTTGCTCCCTGCCCCCCTAAATACACACAGATACAGAAATGCTTACATAAACGCCCACGGGGCCCACATCCCAAAATAGACCACATAACAAAGAATTCTATTCTGAGAACACTTAGTTCTCCCCAAAATAGAGCCTGCAAAGATGTTTAACCCTTTGTCCGGCACCTGGGAAAAGAGGTGGGAATGCTAACCAAACATACCTCTAGACCAGGAGGAAAAAGAAAATGATTCTACTACTTCCTATCATACAGCTTCACTCAAGCAAGCCTACCCAGACCCCCATGCCCCCTTCCTGAAATCATCACAAGACATCGGCTTTGAGGTCCTCTGTTACCTGCCTCTGAAATGCCCCCACCTCCAGTCCCTACCGTAGCAACTGTAAATACAGTCAGCAAAATGCCCCCAATGAAACTTCAGTACTCCCTCGTGAAAAAACAAAGAAGTTAGCCTGTGTCTCCAGCCCGACTCACCAATCCTCCTGTCTCTCGGAGAGGAATCCTCCCTCTAAGCGGCAGAGCTCTAGCTCCGATAGATACTGGATTCTTGTTTACCACTTGCCCAGCGGCCAGGCAAGGGATGCTCAGTGCCAAACTGAAGCTCTCCACTTCAGGGCAGGTGGAAACCTGATCTTGGAGTCAGAGGGGGAGGCCACCACACCCCTCCATGGCCTTGCAGGTTCACAGAAAAGAGAGGCCCTTCAGCCCAGTCATAACCTGGGAAAACTCTCCAAGAGGAGCCCAAGGGAAGAGTCCCAGGCTCCAGCTGGGGGATCTGCTGATTCTCAAAACAACCCCTGGAATTAGGACAAGAGCTCTTGAGCCCCTAAGGACGGAGCTGGGACATCCCCCAGCTCTTCACAGAAGCAGTCTGTTCACCCTGTTCTCTGAACAGTGGAACCTAGGGTAGGTAGGAGACTTCTGGAGTGGCCAGGGGGCCAGTTACTGCTGGCACTGGGTGGTAGGAAGCTTGCTCTCCACTAGGAGGGGGGAAAAACCCAACCCCCCCCGAAAAAAAACGTCACTGCCTTCTTAGCAGCTCAAGGCACAAGCTTCCCAGATTCCCCACCCATTTTCTCCTTCCTAGCCAGGCTTTTGGTTACTTCTCTCCACTGAGAAAATGTCACTGAGCCCAAAACACTCAGTCTGGGGACAGGCGGTGTTCAGCGGGGAAGCCAGCACAAATTCAGGAGGTGGGAAGGCATGTGGGAGGGCTCTGAGTCTGTCCCCTCGCCTTTAGTCAGGGCTGCTTCAAAAATACTTTACGTGGGCTTCGTCAATGATTCCCTCCATTAAGAGCCCCAAAGTTGGGTGAGAGGACGAATATTTATTCTACTGTCTTTCAATTACTCCATCTTTCTAGTATTCGTAGAAACCCATTTCCTTTCCCTACACTAGATTCTGGGAATGTTAACTGGTCAGTGTTATCTGTGAAAAACTGAAAATCTTTCATCAACTGAATGGAGGCTATATTCCTGAAGTAGAAAGTGAGACAAAGAGGGTGGGGCGTAGAGATCACTGAGTCTTATTAAGCCAATTCATGCTGAGATCCACGCTAGGGAAAGAGAGGCCATCACTGCCCCATGTCCTTCACTAAGTGTTTTAGCAAGAAGCAATGGAATATAGGGGAAGCTTGTGGTGGGTTCAAACCCACAAATTGGTCATTTATTAGCTGTGTAACTTTAGACAAGTCACAACCTCAATTTCTCCATCTGTCAAATGAAGTGTTGGAATGGACCCATCCATCTCTAGACCTGGGATACTATGAAACAATGCCTCTGTCATTCACAAGTTGAGTAACCTAGAGGGTAAGTCACTTAATCTCCCTTTTCCTTATCTGTAAAACAAAGCGGTCAGAATAGACGACCTCTAAGACATCTTCCAGCTCTCAGTCTATGCCCCTATGATATCAGCTCTGCCCCCATGCCTCTAAAAACACCTCTCTTGTCTCTGTAGCCAGACAGAGAGGGTTCATTTGAAGTGAAATGATTTTTTCCTGTAGACCTGATCCTACTTCCTCCTATCTAACACTTTGACTTCTTGCATTTTCTGGAAACTTCCATACCTTAGGCTTGTTTTCTTTGTTTGGATTGATGGCCAATCCCTATCACTCGTGCATCCATGCATCCATCCCAGTAACATCGAAGGTGAGAACCAGACACCCTTGAGTGAGTACTTGCCCTCTCCTACTCTGGTGTGGGAGAGATGAGAGCCCCAGGCATTCCACAGACTGAACAGGGAGGGAAGGGGATGGGGAGTGGGGAAGCCATTACAGAGGACTATCACTCACCCCCCCCATCCTCTTCCTGCCATGACCTGACAATCGCTGCCCCCGAGGCCCAGCAACAACAGTCCTTTGCCTCTGTCCATTGAGATCCAGCTGTGCCTTAACTCCCAACTCCTTGTCCCCCAAGGTCCCTTCCCAGAGTCTCAGTTTAAGCCCAAGGCTTAAAACTTGCCATAACCAATGACTCTCATGCAAAAGCCTGACTTTCATGTGAAAATTCTAAGATCATTTGAAAGTGCTGAAATGAAATGGACCACCAGGGAAACTAAGCAAGCTCTTTGGGACACATGGGCCTAAGGGCCTGAGAGGGGATATATCCCAAGGCAATCCACTTCCTGTGAATGAGAGTTGCCCAAGGGGAGAGACCATGATCCACCTGCCTCTTGGACCAGGGAACTCCCAAGGGCAGGGGGTTCCCAAGCTTCTCATTATTTTAAACCTCCCACTAGCAAATAGCACAGGGCAAGGATTTAAGGGGCTTTAGAAATCATTTAGTCATGGGGCAGCTAGGTGGTACAGTGGGTAGAACACCGGCCCTGAAATCAGGAGGACCTGAGTTCAAATCCGACCTCAGACCAAACACTTGACACGTACTAGCTGTGTGACCCTGGGCAAGTCACTTAACCCCAATTGCCTAAAAAAACTAAAAAAAAAAAGAAATCATTTAGTCCAATTCCTAAATTGTACAGATGATAAAACTGAGACTCAGAAAAGTTAAGCAACTCACCCCAAGTGCCTGGGGCAGAATTTAAAACTAGGCCTTCCTAATGCCAAGGCCCAGCATCTCATCCTCTCCATCATGCAACCTCTCATTGAAATGAGAGTATGGCCTCCTAAAGCGACTTCTTTGGAAGGGTCAGCACCCCATTGTATATCTATTCTAACAGGCTTAGTGGTCCAGTAAATAAGAGCTCTGAGCCTGGAGTCATGAAGACCTGAATTCAAATCCGACTTCAGACACTTACTAGCTGTGTGACCCCAGGCAAGTCACTTAATCTGTTTGCCTCAGTTTCCTCATCTGAAAAATGGGGATAATAATAGTACATAGTCGATGAACATTTACTATGTGCCAGGCACTGTGCTGAGTGCTAAAGATACAAAGAAAGGCAAGAGATAGTCCCTGTTCTCAAGGAACTCACAGTCTATCTCCCAGGGTTGTTGTGAGGACAAAATGAGATATCTGTAAAGTGCTTTGCACACCTGAAAGTGCTATATAAACACTAGATACTGTTGTTATTACCAATCAATCAATTCACTTTGCTGTCACATCTTGTATGCTCACTCTTTATCTCACACTTCCTGGACTTGGGTTTTTTAGAGAGAAACTTCCCAGTCCCAAAAGAGAGGGAATCTCTTGAGCTGAGATTAACACCTATGGAAAATCACACAGTTTATAAGCATCCCTAGATGGTTCACGAGTCACTGAGATTCCCCAGAAGGGAGGAAAAGACAAGACGGCCAGAAGGGCCCCCAGGAGCGCATCTCGGTGTCTTTAAATTAAGTCTATTGACTTCAAAGCCCATTTGCTGGGTTTCTGTGCTATGAGATTCCTGAACCACAGTGGGATGGTACAAACAAAGACCTCTCTCTCCTCATCTTGGATTATAGGAATGTTGATTATTTGGCTGGTGGGTCGTGGGCCGGGGATAAAGAGTGAGCCAGAAGGTTAACTCGATGGTCTTCCCGCTAAAAAGAGGGCCGGGGAGAAGGATATCAGAATGTATTTGTCTATCGAAGCTAGCAAGAAAAGGAATTGCAAGCCTCCAAGCCTAGGTTCTGACCTTGGCTTGGCCAGTGATCTCTCATTTGACCAGATAC